TAGGTTACTAAAGGCACCGGGGTTGCGGTGCCACCGGCTTGGGCCCGTAATCGCTGCTCGCAGCTATATTTATTATTATTATTATTATTTTACTACCTTTTGGGCACTTTTGGGGGCCTTAACGTGCTCGAAAACTCTTGAAACTTTGCACACATCTCAGAACCCGCGGCCATCAGGGCCGGGCTGAAGCTGGTACCCGGGCGTGGCAGGGGGGCTCGACAGCGCCCCCTGGAACGGGGTTTGAACACTTGGTCCATAAATCAAACACGCTTGCATGTAATAATATGAAACTCAGTACACATATAGATCTCATCGGTTCATATATACTTCATGCTCTTACTTTTTACCCCAGCCCAACAGGAAGTCGGCTATTAAGGGTTGTTTGGAAAACACATGCAATGGAATGTGAAATACTCCTCCTAGAGAATTCAAACACACGGCACGAAACTCGGTCAGCATGAAGTCAAGACACTGAGGATGAAAAATTGCCAGGGGATTTTTGATATCTCGAACGGTTTGGCCGTGGCGAGTAAACGAAATTATGGCGAGAAACGTGAAACAGGAAGTGTGTTATAACTACTGCATACATTAACTAATCTTGATGAAACTTCAGCAGTGTGTTCGTTGTAAGAGCCCGATCACATGGATGTGACTATTGTGAGTCAAAGTTATAGCGCCACCAACTGGCAGCAGGAAGTGTGTCACTTTCAAAATGCTTTTAAATCACCCTCTTATTTTTACCCGATTTGCTTCAAACTTCATGTGCATAATGTAGACACACGCCAGATGTAGACCTGTGAAAGGATTATTGATATCTTAGATACTGTTCCCATGGCAATGCATCAAACATTAATATTCCTTTTTTTAAGCTTTTTCATGCTTTTTTATGCTTTCGGGCACTTTTGGGGTTCTTAACGTGCTCGAAAACTCTTGAAACTTTGCACACGGGACAAAACCCGCGGCCATCAGGGCCAGGCTGAAGCTGGTACCCGGGCGTGGCAGGGGGGCTCGACAGCGCCCCCTTGAACGGGTCAGACAATTTGGTCCATATATCCAACACGCTTTACCCTATTTGCTTCAAACTTGATGTGTATAATGTAGACACAAGCCAGATGTAGACCTGTGAAAGGATTGTTAAAATCTTAGATGCTGTTGCCGTGACAACGCATCAAACTTTAATATTCTTTTTGGATACTTTTGAGATTCTTAGCGCACTTTTGGGGCCCTTAACATGCTCAAAAACTCTTGAAACTTTGCACACGGGTCAGAAACCGCGGCCATCAGGGCCGGGCTGAAGCTGGTACCCGGGCGTGGCAGGGGGGCTCGACAGCGCCCCCTGGAACGGGGTCCGAAAACTTGGTCCATAAATCAAACAGGCTTTACCCGATTTGCTTCAAACTTGATGTGTATAATGTAGACACACGCCAGATGTAGACCTGTGAAAGGATTGTTGATATCTTAGATGCTGTTGCCGTGACAACGCATCAAACTTTAATATTCTTTTTGGATACTTTTGAGACTCTCAGCGCACTTTTGGGGCCCTTAACATGCTCAAAAACTCTTGAAACTTTGCACACGGGTCAGAACCCGCGGCCATCAGGGCCGGGCTGAAGCTGGTACCCGGGCGTGGCAGGGGGGCTCGACAGCGCCCCCTGGAGCAGGGTCCGAAAACTTGGTCCATAAATCAAACACGCTTGAATGTAATAATATGAAACTCGGTACACATATAGATCTCATCGATTCATATATCCTTTGTACTTTTACTTTTTACCCCAGCCCAACAGGAAGTCGGCTATTATGGTTTGTTTGGAAGCGTATGCCCCTGGAATTCGATATACTCCTCCTAGAGAATTCAACCAATCGCCACGAAACTCGGTCAGCATGAAGTCAAGACATTGAGGATGAAAAGTTGCCAGGGGATTTTTGATATCTCGAACGGTTTGGCCGTGGCGAGGAAACGAATTTATGGCGAATAAAGGAAACAGGAAGTGTGTTATAACTTCTGCATACATTAACTGATGTTGATGAAACTTCAGCAGTGTGTTCGCTGTAAGAGTCCGATCACATGGATGTGACTATTGTGAGTCAAAGTTATAGCGCCACCAACTGGCAGCAGGAAGTGTGTCACTTCCTAAAGGCTTTGAAATCACCCTCTTATTTTTACCCAATTTGCTTCAAACTTTATGTGTATAATGTAGACACATGGCAGATGTAGACCTGAGAAAGGATTATTGATATCTTAGATACTGTTGCCGTGGCAACGCATCAAACTTTATTATTCTTTGTTGATGCTTTTGAGACTCTTAACATACTTGAAATTGCATGAAACCCGACAGACACATCACATTTATTAGACAGTAGACATGTGCAGAGTTTCAGAAACGGGCATGGTGAGAGCAATTAGAGAATAATGTTTAAGTTTAAAAACAGCCAGAATGGTTGTTTAGTCAAAAAAATTTTTTTTCCAAATCATACATAGTGTTATACTGCCCTCTTGTGTTCAAAATCAGGTAAAAAGCGAAAGTAAAATAAGGACGTCTGCACAATTCATTAATAATGGTGCAGAGTAGAGTGAGCTTTTTCAATTAATTCCTATGGAAGTAGGAATGAACTAAACAACGTTCGCTCTGTTCTGCTCGTCCCTCACCGTGGGCGCGCAGAGTTATGAATGCCCGTGCAGCCGTGAGCATTTTAGTTTCATTTTAAAATTAGCGCCATTTCGGGGGACGTATTACTTTAATTTATTTAACAAAAACACAATGTTGTGTTTTATTGCGAGTGTACACAAATATAAGTAAACACTTTGACGTTTGAATGATGTCCTGTATGAAGAAAATGACGGAGTATGTTTCACTGTTCAATCGCGCTGAGCCACCCAGACCCCCACACACACACTGACACACACACACACACACACACACAAACACACACACACACACACACACACACAATAATAAAACATTCAACCTAACATATACAAATTACACTGCTATGTTGAAATAGTCAGTAGTACAATTTGTATCATTCACAGTAAGCACCGCTCCACTGTGATTTTTCCAAGCACATTTTTGCACAAGTGAAGAGGATGATTTTTTCCGTCGATATTGGAACGTGAGTGAAGTACAAAGCCTGTAATAAAGAATAGTTTAGCATCCAAATACATCGCAAATGTTGCAACATTTAGATTCTAAAGAGAGATTTACGTGAGCCTAACACCACTTACTTTTACTTTTGTTTAAAATTATTTCGTTTTGGCTTTATTATAGTTATTTTTTTATTCGTGTTCTGTTCTGAATATCATTAAATTTAAAGGATTTGTTGTGGAATATTTTGAGTGTATAATCAAATAACACTAAACCGTCACTAGGTGTCGCCAGGCGACCGTCTTAATGAGCGGGTCATTGATTCATTCGTTCAAACGATTCGTTTGAACGACTGAGTCATTCATGAATGAGACAGATGTTTATGGATTGGTCATTGAATCTTTGAGTCAACCAATTTGTTCAAAATGCTGAATCATTCAGTAATGAGAAAACACGTTGCTGTGAGATGCAATGGTTCTGCTGTGATCTTTGTTTAACTATTTTCGCTGCTGAAACAGAAGAACAGTCAATATTGCATCTAAAATGTAAGTGACTTGACACGTGTGTGTGTGTGTGTGTGTGTGTGTGCGTGTGAGTGCGTGCGTTTTGCTGTGTTGATTGTTGGTGAGATGATGCAATGATGGGGTTTTGTCACTGACCTAATAAAAGTGTGGGCTAAGAAAAAAAAAATCTCTCTCTTTCAGAACAATATATTTGTTTTCCTTGGTCATTTTCTCTCTCTCTCTCTCTCTGAGCCAATATGGCAAGCCGTTTTAACATTTAATCATTTTAACCTACTAGTCTCTAATTTCTTGCTACTAGTACTTATTTTTTAGATACTAGTATCTATTCCATTAAGTACTAGTACTTATTCATTAGCGACTAGTGCTTAATCTTTAGTACTAGTGCCTATTCTTTAGATACTAGTGCTTATTCTTTAGATATTCTTTTGAATACGTATTAGTAGCTAATGAATAAGTACTGGTATCTATTTAATAGGTACTAGTATCTAATGACTTGGTACTAGTATTTATTGAATAAATACTAGTATCTATTAATAGGTACTAGTATCTAAAAGGTCATTTTCTCTCTCTCTCTGAGCCAATATGGCAAGCCGTTTTAACATTTAATCATTTTAACCTACTAGTCTCTGTTTTCATGCTACTAGTACTTATTTTTTAGATACTAGTATCTATTCCATTAAGTACTAGTACTTATTCATTAGCGACTAGTGCTTATTCTTTAGGTACTAGTGCCTATTCTTTAGATACTAATGCCTATTCCTTAGGGACTAGTAGCTTTTAAAAGATACTAGTACTTATTCATTAGATACTATATTAGTATCTAAAAATCAGTCAAAAGACAGTCAAAGCAGGGTTACGTTTTTGCACTTCGTGCACAATAACCCTAAAGGCACCAGGGTGGCAGTGCCACCGGCTTTTTATATATATATATATATATATATATATATAAATATATAAATATAGCTGCGAGCAGCGATGAAGGGCCAAAGCCGGCGGTACCGCCACCCTGGTGCACCAGGGTTGCGGTGCCACCGGCTTGGGCCCGTAATCGCTGCTCGCAGCTATATTTTATATTGTTGCAGCACCTGTTTTAACCCTCTGTCTGAACGCTTTGTTTTAGCTTCAGTTTCTTTAAAACCCACCTTCCGAAAAGCACAGTCTGCTCTGATTGGTCAGCCGGCCCCAGTCTGTTGTGATTGGTGTTCTGCTTAGAGAGTGTCGTAAATGAAACGCCCCTTACCATACCCAGCGAGTATCAGCAGCAGAGGCTTCCTGAGGTGCTGTAAACCTTATTGTAACTATGCTAACTATGGTTTGAGCCAGAGTCCAATAATGACAGTCAAGAAGAACAAGCTGATCAACCATATGTTTGTAGAAATAACATTTAACGTACCTTCACTGACTTGACTGCTATCTGTCGAGTGCTTGAAGTCTATGATCTTCTCCACCAGTTGGTTGTAGCTGAGTTTTCCAACTGCAGACACCACCTCAGGACTCTGAAGAACAATGTAATACTTGCAGTGTTGTTTGAACGTACAGAGTTAACACATTAGTACATTGTTTTGCTGACGTACCTGCGGGTCGACAAGCCAGCCGTGGTAGAGCGGAATGTCAAGCAGATCAAAGACGATGCACTCAGGTGTGTACTCAAAGTCAGACACACCTGTAAAACGCACGTTAACGTCGAGGCCTGTGGACAACTTTGGCAGCACAGCCATCGCGTCGCTCATGTTCTGTGAAGGGAATGAGATACACAATGAAAAATAAAGTCATCTGACACAAAATACATGGTGTTATTTCAGGGGAATTTATCATGGTCATGTTACTGACTTCAGTGTGTGAGTTATTGAGATTTTTAGGTCAAGCAGAAAATGATAAGTGATATTTACCACACAAAATGCTGATTCCACTTAGCTAACCTATTACGTTGAAATCATGTAAAAAACAGTATGTGGTTGCGTACAAGCTTGAATTCTTCTATTCAATCCATCTAATTTCCAATCACAGGCAAAAAAGGAACATCAACGGCACATTGACAAAAGGAAGCTTTCATTTGTGCATCTTTATAAGCACAAACAGACACTGTAATTGTTGGAATTGTTAATGGAGGGATCACAAGCCTTCATTCATAGACTGAAGGCCTTGTTCACAATATCTGCTTATAAATGTGTTTCGGTTCTGAGGTTTCCAGCACAGCCTGTCTGCTTAACATGTTAATTCAATTCACTAGACATGTGTTGAAGATCTGTGCAGAGCAGAGCCTGTTTCACTTGTTCTTCCACCACACTATGATTTACCTGCTGGAAATTGAGCTCCATGCCCTCCGCTTTCTCTCGCGGTTTGATGGACAGCACACATTCACCTGGAACGAGAACAGAATCAGATTTTTAAAAACACTTCAGCTTTCTGTCAAAGGTTGTTGTCATTACGTGATTTGAGAAGTGTCACCTTTTCATGTCAATGATGTTTGTATTGTTAGTGAAAGCACTTCTGGTTTATCTCCCTATCACTCAACAACATCCTCATCACATGTTGATCTTTCCAGCTATAACCTGATAAAAGATTATATACAGTGGCTCCAAAAATTATTTGGACACTTTAGCCACACTTAAAATCTCTGAATGCCATTGTATTATATGTGCATAAATATATAAAATGATATTGAAACCAGTTGGTTAATAGGATTTGAAAAAAATGGAGCAGAAAAGTTAGTTAGAGATTATTTTTAGTTGCCACTTGGTTTGAAATTTTATGTAATGCAATACAATGACATTCATGCATGTGACCTAAATGTGCAAACGTTTCCAAATACTTTTAGCAACACTGTCAAAGAAAACCTCCACCCATTGCTGATCAGAGTAGCAGGTAAAGTGCCCCTATTATGCTTTTTTGAATATTACCTTATCTTGCTGTGTGTAATATAGCGGTTTGTGAATGTAAAAGGTCTGCAAAGTTTTAAAGATTAAAGTGCATGACAAAGTCATTGCCTCCCAAAAGAAAGAATTGATTCTGAACTCCTGAAATGAGTCATCAGCAATTCCAGTCTCTCTTCCGTAACATATGTCTGTAACAATGTAACAAATTTGCATAATGGTCAGCCTATGGTCTTAATTGGCTGCACGCGAACGACGTCTACATTGACCCTCAAACACTGTAGTTTTAGCTGAGACTGGAAGAGTTTGGTTCGTAATTCGTATTGTTGTCCAGAAGACCACTTTGCACTTCAAAAGTTCCATTGCGTCGCACTATTGGCATTGCTTGTGGCAGCAGTTAAAAATTTTTCCACTTTTCAAGGACCAACGCAGGCGTCAGCCAATCAGATCGCCTTTATGCAAATACCCTAGCGTGTTGCATTCCAAGCTGGAAGTAATGTGATTGGCTGTTGTCACGATGACGGTCGAATCAGCACCAAGCTTCAGACACGCCCTCTTTCAAGCGCCGACGCCCTGTGTGAATGCAGTGTTATGGTAATGGCCGTTTCGTTACCGATACGCGGTGTAAGCAACAGACCAATCACAACAGACTGGGCCGTCTGACCAATTAGAGCAGAGTAGGCACACGGAACGAAGGGGTTTAGAGAGAATGAATCTTCAAACTAACCGTTTTCAGACTCTTTGAGAAATGAGGTGATGTGCAATGTATATTATAAGAAAACTAAATTGGATTCATGTAGACCTATTGTAGGAGACCTCCTAAACACCTTTAAAATAGCATAGCAGGGGCACTTTAAACATCTGGACTAGTAAACATTCAAACTCACTGAGGGGTCAAAAGTATTACCATTGTGTCCTTGAGTAAGGCACTTCACCTAAAAGCATCTGCTAAATTACTACTTACACCAAGGGCAGAGACTTAATGGTATAATCCGTGATTGGGGTGCCATTAGTGGTACTGAAACACAAATGTATTCACACAGTAACCACACCCCCTTCTTCTCAAGTCACACTAGCCATCTGTTTTCAACCATAAAGTTAATTATGGCACACCACTAAGGCTCCTTAACTTATTACACTCCATTAACAGGAAGGATGTGCTGTGACTCAACACTATGTGTTTTAATGTAATTTGATGTAACATATAGAAACAGTGCTCCAAAACATCATACCAAGGTGAGCCATCAGCTCTTCTGTGGTGACCACTTCCGTCTGAGCCGGGAACTTCACCTAAAGAATAAACAGACAATTCAATTCATGTTTTTTACATGCATATAATGGATATAATCTAAACTACATGCACATGAATCCGTCTGAGCCGGGAACTCCACCTAAAGAATAAACAGAAAATTCAATTCATGTTTTTTACATGCATATAATCTAAACTACATGCACATGAAATTCACAAACAAAAACTTCTGCTTTTAGCCATGGCACAACCTTGTCTAAATTTTTTTTCTTCAAAAATTTCACAACAGGCTTTTTTCCCCCTGAATGTGTTATCAGTGTTATAGGGTAAGCTAAAATCATGTTTATACAGTAACACAGAAACAGATAAGGAGAGTTAAACCTATTACTAGGCTAAAGAAAAGTTTTGTAGTTGCATTTTATGATATTATATAGGGTTGGTAGGATTTTTTGTTTTTTGAAATAAGTCTCTTATGCTCACCAAGGCTGCATTTATTTGATCAAAAATACAGTAAAAACTGTAATATTTCCACATGATCCTTCAGAAATCATTGTCATAAGCGGATTTGGTGCTTAAGAAACATTTTTTCTTATTATCAATGTTGAAAACACTTGTGCTGCTTAATATTTTTGTGGAAACCATGATACATTCTTTTTCAGAATTCTTTGATGAATAGAAAGTAAAAAAAAAAACAGCATTTGTTTGAAACAGAAAACTACTAAGTTACAATGTAACATTATACTATATAATTTTTTACTGTCACTTTTAATTAATTAAATGCATCTTTGCTGAATAAAAGTATTAATATACATATATACACACACACACATATCGCAATTAATCGATTTGACGGCCCTAAAATATATATAATTAGGGCAAATCAATTAATTGCATCTAATATAAAAGTTTGTGTTTATATAATATATGTGTGCAGTGTATATATATATATATATATAAAATATTATATAAACAAACTACATGTTAGATGTGATTATTCGTAAACAATTGATTTGCCAGCACTAATATATATATATATATATATATATATATATATATATATATATATATAAAGCCTTATAACGTATTTATATATAGGCTATATATTATTTTTATATTTTATAAAATATAATAATAGTCATAGATTTTACTCACCGCAATAAAGATAAAAAAACTAAAATGGTCACAAAGAAAGTTTGACTGCCAAGATTTGTTCGCAGGAAAACTGATTATTCATTAGATGACTTAAAATTTGAGGCACCTTTCACATCAGTAACATAAATCTTGCATGACAAGTTAAATGCTGAAATGTAATACATAGTTCTTAATGCTTAGTACATAGTAAAAGTGATGCTTGCCTTTGCAAACATCACACATATTGTATTTGTTTAGCACCATGTGATTGTATGACAAGCAGGTAATGCAGAATGGCTAACCTTCCATCGCAACAACAGGATGTTCATGATGGCAATCAGGGGGCAGGGTCCGTTCTCGCTCTGCGTGATGATGGCCGTCTTCTTCTCTTTCCAGGTAATCCACTTGACAAAATAATATGCTGGCATCCCAGGCTCTGATGCCCTAGCAGGCCCCGCACCGACCCCTTCGTTCCCCTGAGAGGGGACTTGGTTTCCATCCTGAGCAGATTTGGGTGAAATCAAAGGTCCATCAGGAGGAATCCCATTAGTCTCCTCGGAGAACTCCAGGCTTGCCACTGAGAAAGTGGGCGTTACCTCTGACTGGCTGGGCGTGCAGGATTGGCTATTGATGAGCTCGGATTCATCGGTTTTGTCTTGGTTTTTACTGGTCACAGAGGTCGATTGAGCCGCATTAGCATCATTTTCAGGAGAAGTTGTGGTTGTAGGGGGACCTTTGCATGGTGTGAGGTCATCTTTCATACTCCCAGAGGATTGCTCAAGGGTGGTAACACCCTCTTTTTGGCTGATTTTCTTATCTTGTGGTCTACCAGGGTCAAAGTCCTCATTTTTGGATGTATTTAACTGCTGCCCCTCAGAAAGGCCTATAATCTCACCATCAACGGTGTCTGGGCAAGAATCTGCCATGACCTGACAGCTGAGATTGTGTGCTTCCAATAAACAGAGCTAATTGAACTTTTTAAAAATCTGTTCGGTTGCTGATAAATATAAATAAAAAAATCTGGCAGTGACTTAGTTTTTTTCCCAAAATTGTATTTTTGCTTACTTCATATTCCTGAGTTTTAGCACTTGAGGGATTTCTGAAGCTCCCTCGTATCTGATTTCTACCTGTGGCAGTCTCTTAAAAACAATCACTTGCGTCAAAAAGCCAGAAATTTTATATCAATTCCTTCTAAAGTTAAAAGGTTGGTACGTCCTTGCTTTCATGCCCAAAACTGTAAGAGAGGCAGTTTTTCAGCACACCTCTGCTTAGTAGTGTTGTTTTAGAGTTGCCTAATTCTGGGAACAGCTGAGTCACAGGGAGGCTTTCTGTGAAGTACACAAAGCATATCAGCATTTACTATACATGTACAAACCAAAATGCATTACTTCTATTCTGAAGTAGACTATATGAGCCTCAAAGTTACAATAGTTTGTTTGGAAAAACTATTTCATGTGACATGCTAGAAGACCATTTGGGTAAGTTTTTTTTTACCTGATCACTGAAGGGTGAAGCTCTGGAGGTTAAGAAGGGTTTCTGAGCTCAGATTTTGAATTTCACAAACTCTGAAGTAAACAGGAAGAAGATTTAGACAATATATCCATGCTAAACTAAAAAGTGCAAATGAACGTTTGCTGTCATTATAAACAATATAACTTACATTGCCAATGAGCTTTTAACCAAGTGAACTGACAACACAATGATTGTATCTTACCAGAACAATAAGGTAGAGTTTTGCCAATCTATTTGTAAATAAGCAATTCCTACTCAGTACAGTATATGATGTGTTTATTAACATACTTGTTCGTACTAATCTTGATAAGAGTAACAGTACACCCTGTATTACTTCCAACGGCGGCAGCAACTTACCATAGCGACCTTTCTGCAGGTCTTTAGGTCTTTAAAAATGTTCTTCTTTGCCCCTAAGACATACACTGTAAAACACAATAAAGCAGTGAAGGTGTCTGGCTAAATTGTAGAGATTTTGCTGTCTACTAGTCCGACTGATACATGCGCACGTCACTCTCTCTCTTTCTCTCTCTCACTCTCTCCTTCTCTCTCTGGCCACTCTTTCCGTAATCTTGTTTTTGCCAGTCTCACTTCCGGTGCCTGTGTTTGTAAACAGTGGCGTCATGTCGGAAGCTAATAACTTATAACTATTTATTACTCAGTACTATTTTCTCTATATTGGCAAAGTGTTTTGTTAGCTTACACCGGTAAGAATTCTGCTGTAAAATTTGTTTTGATATTTTAAAACGTATGGGATTCAAATTATTATCAGGTGTCTAGTGGAATCTGGTGGTTGGAGGATGGAAATGCAGGTCCGAGTTCCAGGATGCCAACACGAATACAATATAATATAATATAATATAATATAATATAATATAATATAATATAATATAATATAATATAATATAATATAATATAATATAATATAATATAATATAATATAATATAATAAAATATAAAATTCTGTCATCATTTAGTCACCCTGATTTTTCAAAAACAATACAACTTTTTTTCTTTAGCAGCCAGACCACAAAAGGAGATGTTAGGAAGAATGACAGCCTCAATCCCAATTCACATTCATTATGTAGACTGACGCAGTGAAAGGGGAATGGTGGTGACTAAGGCTGTCAGTTCAAAACATTTTTTTGTGTTCCACATAAAAAAGAACAGCATACAAGTTTTGAGGGTGAATATGTAATGAAAGAATTTTCTTTCTTTATTTCTTTCTTTCTTTCTTATTATAGAAGCAACCTGGCATTAGAATACTAATCCAAAATAGTCCAAATCCTGGTCTGGCGTCAGTTTACAATTATAGACAGATACTGATGATGATATATTTTCAAATAACTGTCTCTACAATGCACTTGATTAATCCTGTAAGACACATCAATAATTACACTTTATTATGAAACATTTTAGAGTGCAGCAACGTTATATAACTACCATTTTTATTATAATATATTACATTGTATTACATTATATTATGTTATATATTATAGCTAGTTTACTGACTGCTTTGATGGAAGCACAATGTAGGGTACAAAAATGTATTTTTAGTGAATGTTTAACTTTACCTGAAGTTTTTGTATAACTGGGAATTAGCTGAACTCATTGAGCTCACAAATGTAAATCATTTATTTGTTCTTGTATGCTTGATGTTTTCTGAAACTTGTCATGGTATTTTCATATCCTGGCATTAAAGGTCACTTTGACCAAATTAAGCAAGTGCAAGTGTAAATGTTCCAACTTCGTAACATTATCAAATATAATAAAGTAGCCTATTGATTATCTCATCAATATAATGATATTGAATAATTATATAATTTGTATTATCTTTCTCTAGAGCTTTCTTTATATTCCTGTAAATCTCTGACGTCCTTAAAAGAATAGACTATAAACGCATCTTTATTTTTATGTATCAAATTTACAATCTCATCTGTGTATCTGATATTAACTTAATTCAAATAAATATTCACACTAAAGTTGTGCTGCTTTAAAAATTACATTTGAGCCCACTGGAAATACCAATAAATTTCCATTTTGCTCGCAGGGCGCCAAGTTCAGTCAGTGGAAGGAAAGATGGGTCAATCGACCTGATGGACGCTGGAATCAGCCAATCAACGAGCAGCACTTACATCTCACCACTGCACTTCAAGAATAGAAGAAGGGGTCGTTAACAAATGCAAACGGGAAGCACAAATTGTACAGATACCACAAAAATAGTAACATGATACACCATAAATGCAGTCACTAATTTTCTCTATTTCAATAGAACAAGTGATTTGACACGCCCACTCGACGCTAATTATGCACCTGTCACTGGTCCCTCAATCGCCCACAGAAGGTGGGCGGGACTAATGCAAATCTCCACTAGTGATGTTGGGTGCGGTTGGTTCAAGCTGAGCAGCCGGCTAGAAGATTGAGCTCAAACAGCATCGTCTATTCTTCTTCAAATCTGAATTACGACAAAACAGCTTGTAATTCCAAGAGAAAGAACCCGACCACATACTAGGGGTATGTTTTATAAAATTACCCTTTTGTTGAGCAATATTTCTGTTTTAGTCCACTTTATTTAAAGCATCTAAAATGATTTTGGTGTTTCAACAAATAGACATGATGTCCAAGGTAACAAAATTGACATGACCTTATTTGTCAGTTGAAAATAAGATAATATAACGTATTTTACTGGTAAATGTTTTTGCTTCATGTTTTGGCCTATGTAAGGTTTGTTGCTGGTAATCCATTCTGTACTGAAGCATCTCTAAAATGCTTTGTCACGAGATGCGCCATCACTATTTTGGGAGCTGCGCGAGCCTGCCTTTTAATAGATGTTCTTGTGAGATGTTGCAATATTCATGCAGGGTATCCATGATAGTCATGACAAGACCTCATCCCCTGCTTCTCTCTGAATATTGGGCGTATACCGCCTCTGCATTGTGCGACCACAGCTAAATCACCCCACGACGCGCGAGAACGTTACGTGTATAGTTCAATTAATTGGAACAGCTTCATTAGAATCATTGTCGTTTTTAGATTTCACACGTTTTTAAATTGCAGCTCCCGAAGGATGTCTTTTCTTTGTAACAAGATAATTCTTCTTTGTTCTTATTCCTGTAAGGACTTCAATCTTGCATCTAATTATAATATATTAATATCATTAGATGACTGAAGTGCAGATACTATATTGCTTATTCTGTTTTTTTAAACAAAATTATAATAATCATAAATATAGTAACAAGTTTTTTTTATTAGTAGTAGTAGTACTATTATTAATGATTTGCACATGTACATTACTTACATTTCAGTATCACAGCTTACAAGTAATATTTTACTCATAATAATAATAATAATAATTATTATTATAATTATTTATTTTTAATTAAATTATAGTACAATTATATCATAATTGATATATAAGTTTACAAAAAAAATATTAATATATTTTTTTCATTAATTGTTTTACATTATATTATATTTTAGCCTTTGACCTGCATATGAAAGTTGTTTTACAGATGTAAATTGCTCAGGTTTCCCTGAAAATAGCAGGTAACTGAAAATAGCTCATGGGGAAAGTCAGGAGCTCACCAAGGGAAAATGTAAACAGGCTTTTAAATAGCAAGCAATGCAGTGTATTCTGTGAAACGAGTTAGTTAAAATATTGTCTTCATTATTTAATTGCAACATTGCATTTAAATGAATGGCCAAAATGCACACAAAAAAATCAGTTTTTAGTTTAAACGGTGTAATCTCTCTTTTGTTTTTTATGTACAGATCGAAATGTTAGACACAACCACCAGTCAGTTCAACTCCTTCATGTTTTGGAGGGAACCCATCCCATCACTGGACCTGTCAGAGCTGGAAGACCTTGGCATTTCTATGTCCAAGTCCAAGGAAGCAAAGTCGAGCAAGGGCAGGAGGGAGGAAGAAGATTCAGAGTTGTTGAAGTTCTCCACCTTCAACTTCTGGAAAGAGCCCATTGCTTGTATTGATATCTTGGATTTTAACCTGCTGTTATAAGACACTGCAATGCAATTATCAGTTCCCGCTCAAATCTGTGTTTTATGCCACTGTGGCTGCACCAATTCTCTACTCTGATCTGATATTGATGAATTGATTGACTCATGTATTATGTCAGTAAAACTGTGATGACTGTGCTAAAACTATCAAGGCATTACTGAATAATATGGATGTTATTTACACTATTTAGTACTTTACTGCCCTGTAAACTCTACATGACTGCTCAATTTGTTGTGCATATGAAAGAAGATTAGGATATTCAGATCCTAAATCTGCCAATTCATTTCATGTTAAAGGCAAGGGGATTCAGAACAAATGGTAAATCTAAAACTGTATACTATTGTTGAATGCCAAATTATTTGTAATATTAATGCATACAGTAACTTTACTAGCTTAAACTAAAATTTCACTTGAAGGTGTTTTTGTATTAAACAGATGTCCATGTTAAAATGCACACCTAATGCTTTTCACTGTTTCCCCCCACCATGTTTGATGACAAATGCCAGATGCCAATTAAAGTGAGCTTGCTGCTAAATGAATAAAAAATGCATTTGTGTTCATGTTTTTTCTTCTTCTGTTTAATAGGTATAAAACAAAAGAATACATTGCGTTTGAACATTGACTGAGAGAAGAGAGTATTCACATTTTCAAATACAGGTGCACCAGTTTCGTAGTCCTAACTTTACAACTCCTGCTGTAGATTCTGGTTATGATAATCATTTTTTAGATTTTTTTTCCCACTGTGGTTTATTGTGCTGATAGGCACAGGTGTTTTGACAGCTGTGTAGCAATTTAGGAAAGCAGAAAGCTGGATAGAGTTTGCAGTATTAAATATTACAACGTTTTTCTTTTATACATCACAGTAAAGATCAAGACTTCTTAATTTCTAAACATCCTTAGTAAAATACCCCCCCCCCCCCCCCCCCCAAAAAAAGATGGAAAAAAAACATTTCAAATGTAAATAAACATTTATTTTTTTACAGTCTATGATTTATATATGTATATATATATATATATATATATATATACGCACATTATATACATTTTTAAGTTTTATTTACATAGAAACTCAAGTACACATTTAATCTCCATCTCTAACCTATTATACTTACAATAGAATAAAGATTATAAATTAAATATATATATATATATATATAGAAATATCTAGGATCTTTATAGTTGCTGTTGAATAGGTAGGCAGTGTCTCGAAACCCAGCGAGCTGCCTACCTAGTCAGCATTTTTCTTCTTTTTTTGCGTTATAGGGTTCGTGCATTGTTTGGGGGGGTTCATTTTTTTATAAGTCTATGGTTCAAACGCACTTAATAGGCCCAAACATGCTGTCTAAGAAGGCAGCTCGCTAGTAGCCGCATATAATAGGCCCAAACATGCTGTCTAAGTAGGCAGCTCGCTAGGTTTGAGACACGTCCGAAGCGTCTGAGCAGCTTCCCTTTTATTTCCGGGGTTAAAGCAGCCGCCATATCTGAATGCGCTTTAAACACAGACATGTTTATGTTGAGCCAGTTCAGAAATACAGTACGGAGAACTATATAGTACTTTAATATCACCCAATAGACGTCCGACAGACAGGCTATAACGGTGAGTTTGATACGCGCAGTCTTTATTAGTTCGTGGCGCAGATGGAGGATGTGTGTCGGTTATGCTCGGCTATGTTTTTGACTCCACATGGCACATGAGTTTGGCATGTAAAATACGAGCTTTAAAATCGCCCTTAAAGATTTGCTTACTGATGCAAACTAATTTTTCTGTTTGTGAGTTCACATGTTTTTGGTGTATGTGTTCTTACACGGAGTTATTTTGATACACGGAGTTTCTCTTTGCTATTTCTGGCCACTGTTTTCCTCGCTTGTTTTCGAATGATATGGAAGACTGTTGTTTAACTATTCAGCTGGTTACTGCACTGGTGTAAATAGTAGGCCTACGGATGTATTTTTAAACATCCTCTGGAAAATAAACGCGAATGACGCGTCGAAATCTGTGCATGATTAACGGTTTAATTCAGATCGGTTTTCTGGACAGATGCAAATGTTTGGAAGAGATGTAATTCAAAGCACTGCTATATTTAAGGAGTTGCCAACATGATTTTCTTCCTATTCTTTCATGCATCCACTTTTCCCAAAAATGAAATGTATGTATAAAAAGGTAAAAATGCAAACTATAATCTCATAATTTGGTACACATCTCACACTACAAGTGAAATTTACAAATAGGCAATAACTACACAATTTGAAATTAAGTTAATGATGTTTTGTATTGGTCAGTAGCAGATACATTTTTTTCCAGTACAATATATATTTGTTAGAGTAATGCACAGACATTATCATCATAATAACACAGTCCTTTTAGTCCTAAATGGTATATTTAATCTGTCTTTGCCTAGATGTCGTTGGTGGATTTGGGAAAGCGTCTCTTAGAAGCAGCTCGGAATGGTCATGATGATGAGGTCCGGACGCTGATGGCCAACGGAGCCCCGTTCACCACTGACTGGGTTGGTCATGTTATCAATAATGTCAAGTCAAGTCATCTTCATTTATATAGCACTTTTAACAATGGATTGTTTCAAAGCAGCTTTACAGAGATAAACATATAATTTAAGGTAACAGAGATTGTTTTGGCTTTATAGCGGTTCTTGAATAATGTTATTTCCAGCTAAAGTTAATTTTGATTGATTCACCTCCGTCGAAATGATCAGACTTTAAACGCGAACCTGTGATTAACGCTGACGGTGTTCACATGCACATTCAGAATTGATTCTATAGTTATCTGCTTTTGAAAATATGTGCGCAGGTTTGTAATTCCATACTACCCATGCCTAAACAAACTACTTGTCTTGCCTATAAATTTTGATACAGAATTTTGTTTTATTTTATCACTTCGGGGTACGCGAACCGAATTCGCAACGCTTTATCTGTAGAGTGGGAAAGGGATCCTCCATAGGGAGAGGATAGTTGACACTTCAGCACTGCATTGTCATTGGGTCCAGGCGAATCTCCTTCGTCAGATCTGGATACGGCCTGGATCCGGCAGGCTGCGGGAAAACCTCAGGATAAACAAAGACACTAGCGTAGATGCCATTCTTTTTATGATGTAACGAGTACATCAGGATTTAAGGGAAGTGTTCCCAGTTCCGGCTGACCTAATCTATGCAGCCTAACATTGAATTATAGAAGTCTATAATGTATTATGTGTATGCTAGGTCAAAGAGATGTGTTTTTAGTCTAGCTTTGAACTGACAGAGTGTGTCTGCTTCCCGGACAATGGTAGGAAGACTGTTCCAAAGTTTTGCTGCTAAATAGGAAATGTTATGATTTAATATGATTTTAGAGCTTAGCCTTCATGACATGCAATCAATAAGAAAAAACAGTGTTATCAATGCTTTTTAAGAATCACAACAAGCCAATCTATAAAGATCTGACAATCTTTACATCATATTCTGACTCCTATGATGTGTCATTGACATTATCTGCTTGTAAATAGCACAATGTAAATTGTCGCAAGGGGGAACTACAAGGCAGTACAACAAAAAATAGTTTACACCGATGTAAAAGCTCATTTTTATGTACCTATTTTGCAGCTTGGAACTTCTCCATTACATTTAGCAGCCCAACATGGTCATTACTCCACTGCTGAAGTCCTGCTGAGGGCGGGTGTCAGCAGAGATGCCCGAACCAAAGTGGACAGGACCCCACTGCACATGGCGGCTACAGAGGGCCATGAGGTCATTGTGGATTTATTAATCAGGGTAAGATGAGGCTTGTCCTGTGTTGCGATAGATTACTAGATGTACAATAAACTATTCCAATTGGTCAACCGAGGAGACTGACAAAAGTCTCTCTTTATGTTTTAGAGTGGTGCCGACATCAATGCCAAAGACATGTTGAAGATGACCGCTCTTCACTGGGCAGCCCAGCACGGCCATCACAATGTCGCAGAGCTGTTGGTCAAACATGGTGCAGATGTACATGCCCTCAGCAAGTTTGACAAGTCCGCTTTTGATATCGCTATCGACATACAACACGCAGAACTTGTACACCTGTTACAGGTTTGGAAAACTACTAAACACTAGAGAATTTAAGGGCATTTTCACACCTGTAAATCGTTTGCTTTAATCCAAAAGGGAATTAAAATAGTTAAAATATTGCAATTTCTTCTTGGTTCGGTTCGCTTTCACCAGGCAACATTTCTAAATGGAACCAAATATATTTTAAGGTGAAGTAGTTACATTGTACTTACTCAAATAAGTACATGTACTTACTGTAGAATTACGGTTAGGGTTTGGTTTAGGGTTAGTTACTTGTAATTCTGCATAATTTACTGTTATTACTAGAGTAAGTACATGTAGTAATGTGTAACTACGTCACCTTAAAATCAAGTGTAACCCAAAAAAATGTTAATACAAGTGATGTGCGAGTAACCTGCTCTCTCATTGGTCAGAGTGCACCTGTTAATGTTTGGGATTCTGTTCATAGCGGTCATCTGTCAGGATGGATAGACAACAACTCTGCAAGCTTGATGTGGCTTTCTTTGTTGCTGCCGGTATATTACTTTAGCAAGAATAATTTTGAGCAAGAATCAAGGTGCCAACTTCGTTTGCGTTTTTGAGGTTTGTACAGTTGTTGTACAGACCAAATTTCAATTAGACATTTCACTTCCTCTTTACTCCAGGTTAACCCACGATTCATTTTCAGAAGCATTAGCAAAACAAGCATTGCTGCTACGTATTTAAAGTTGCAGTAAGTGATTTCTGAGAAAAACTTGATATTTGAAATCAACCCTTCCTTCATTGCTCCATTCGCCAAAATCCACGAACACCCAATGCAAGAGTGGGATGTCTCTTTATCATAGCTGAAACAAAATAATGTACAGCTAACATTACAACAACAGCATATCTTGGTTCTGTGAAACCGCAAAACCATTGTAACTCGCGTATAGAGCAGAAACAACGCAACCTAAGCTTTTCTAATATTAACGCGGGTCTTAAAGCTCTTGACTGATCATAACCCTTCTTTTTCCAGTGATATTCCTCTGGCCTTTCTCTTTTTTGTAATGTTTCTCAACCATCTCTCTGCCGTCTTTCTTCAAATCATGAAGGACACGCCCCCTATTGCTGATTGGCTACATGTGTGTTGTGCTGCTCGGTTCGATCCACTTTCAACAGTGAAAGTGTTTCTCAAAGATTGCTTGCTGCACCTTTAATTAACAATCATCTATTGTGATACAATATATGATTTCAAATATTTTCAAACCCGGTTTCACAGACAGGGCTTAGATCAAGCCAGGAATTAGGCATTAGTACAGTTAGGGCATTTAGGTAACTTTTACAAATGTGCCTTTGTAAAAAAAACATTACTGATGTGGATCTTGAGCCAAAACAATGGCTCTGACATATTTCAAGATATGTCAGCTTTCAGTTAAAACAGCTCAAACATGCATTTTAGTCGGGGACTAGGCTTAAGCATTGTCTGTGAAATTGTGGGTAAGTGAACTAAATTTAGGGAGAAATATAGCAGGTTCCAAAACAAACGCTCCAAACAAGCCAGGTGTAAAGAAGCCCTAAGAAATGTTCCTCATAAATCCTCGATTGGCCTTTTAGGAGGGAATGCAGAATCAGGTGAACAGGAATGCTGAAGCGTCAATCATAAACGGCAGCTCCACCCCACAGTTCATCATTCAGGGCGTCCCAAACATCCAAGGGGGAGTCGTCAACCTCTCTGACTTGATCAAAGCCAGCTCAGGTACGATACGACTAGAAAATAATTGTAAACGAATGTAATCAATTTGAACATTGTTGGTTATTTTATGATCTTAAATTGACTTTGAACCAACAATTGCATTTTGTTTTTCTCATGATGCTTAGGTGACACAGAGGAGGCCATAGCTGTCAGTTCCTTGGACTCGAGTATCCAACAAGTGGTGAATGAATCAGGTCAGAGGGTCATAACCATATTAACAGATCAACATGGAAACCTGCAGACAAATGGACTCGGCCAACCGTTCTTTGTCACAATGCAGGATGGACGACAAGGTATAACTAACTATCCTTATTTTGGATTTTGAACTGAACTTCTCAATGATATAATTTTAAGATTTATATATAGTTTTGGGTCAGTAAAACTTTTTAAAAAAGTATTACCAGTATACTCACCGAGGCTGCATTTATTTGATCAAAAATACAGTAAAAACAGTAATATAGTGAGATATTATTAGAATTTAAAATAGCTTTTTTTATATTTTAAAATATAATTTATTTCTGTAATGGCAAAGCTGAATTTTCAGCATCATTAGTCTTTGTGTCACATGATCCAGAAATCATTTTAATATGATGATTTGTTGCTCAATAAGCATTCTTTATTATCAATGTTGAAAAAAGTTGTGCTGGTTAATATTTTTTGTGGAAACAGATATTTTAGGATTATTTAATGAATTTTAATGAGGTTTGAAGAACAGGATTTATTGGAAATATAATTTTTTGAAACAATGTAATAGTCTTTTCTGTCACACTTGATCAGTTTGATACATCCTTGCTCAAAAGTTTTAATTTCTTTAAAAAAAAAAATCTTACAGAACATTTGAACGGTAGTGTATAAGATTATTATTGAATTGTGTGTGTGTGTGTACTGTATGTGTATATATATATATATATATATATATATATATATATATATATCACGGCTGTCTTGACATTCGTATACCTTGAATTAAGCATGTTCCTCTTTGATTTTATTTAATTTTTATATCAGTATTGGCAGTTCCAGCCAATCAAATCACAGAGGAAGTGGTAGAAGACTCCGAACCTCCTGCTCGTAAAAGGAAAATTGAAGTTTCATCCAATAATGCAGAGACTGGTGAAACGGTAAGTCTAATATGTAAAGGTGTGTGTATATATATGTATATATATTTGAACCTTTAGAGCAAAGCCATCAGATGATAACTTTTTTCATCCATCTCGTTTTATCTTGAATCTCCAGGAGCATCTCCAGTGGCAGTTACAGGAAGCTAACAGGAAAGCTCAATCCTATCGTCAGCAATTGCTCCGCAAAGAGCAGGAAGCCGAGGGGTACCGCATGAAACTGGAGGCCATGTCTAACGGACAAACTAACGGCACCACAGGGCTGGACCAGGAGCACATCGTGTTTGTGCAAGAAGAGGTCGGTATCGAAGAAACAACGGAGGGAGAAGAGGAAGTTGTCATGTTTTCAGAAGGTGGCGTAGTCATCAAAACAGAAGAGATCGATTGTGTGGACGAGCAGATCACTCTAGTGGAAGCCACAGCGGGTCACACGGAAGTCATCTCTTAAAAGAGCACCCAAGAGCGTGAACTCAATCCTCAAGCAACCAAAGAGTGCTTCAGCACGGTTTTGGTTTGGTTCATTTTGATTTTTCAGCAATTAAGTCCTTTTTTTAATTTATTTCCTTGTTCTGTTTTGGTTAACGTTTCTTGCTTCAAATGAAAGTTCACAAAGAAACAACCACAATGTGCATCATATGCACAGACAGACACACACACAGACAGACAGACACACACACACACACACACATACACGACCAGGGAAGATGATTCTTTCTGGGAGTCTGTATCTGCAGTGTCCTTAGAAGTGCTCATCCATCAATTGTCCTAGATGGGGTTCTTCAAACAGCTGGAAAAGGTTCACTCAGGATGGAACTCTTTGCAAACTGCATGTCTTTTGAGCTCCCCTAGAAATGCAGCTGTCTTATTCAGACAGTTTCATCGCTTCTAAAAATGAAAGATTGAAAATTCATCTCAGAATGCAGCAGTGGTTTGTGTTCTATGCATTGGTAATAAAGTAATGCACCAGTTTCAAGAATTTTATTTGTAGGCAATCCGTTTTATTTTTTTCTGTCGGACCATTTAAAAATCTGTAGGTCAATTAAAAGTGCCTTGGTGTATTTTTGGTCATGTTTAGTTTTTATTCATACATGAATTATTGCATATATAGTATTTGTTTAAATGGGTATAAAGCATAATTCCCATTCATTAACTCACATTCCTTATGTAACATGTATTTGTTTTCTCTGAATATGTATAATGTGGTTGCTGTTTTGTTTTAGTTACTTTGAACCTTAAGTTGAGAGCTCTTGTTCACAATGAGTTAAAGGGATAGTTCACCCAAAAATGAAAATTCTGTCATTTACTCAACCTCAAGTTGTTCCAAACTTGTATGGATCTCTTTCTTCTACTGAACACAAAAGATGTTACGAAGAATATAGGTAACCAAACAGTTTTTTCATTACTATGGAAGTCAATCGGGTCCATCAACTGTTTGGAGTGACTTGAGGGTGTCAGTAAATGATGACAGAATTTTCATTTTTGGGTGAACTATCCCTTTAACATCGCTTTCACAAATGTAAAAAGTCTGATTTCAATATCAGGGTTTTGTATCTGTCTGGCTAGCCTTTATAATGTGTAATGTTATCTCCCTGAGCTATGACAAAATAATCAGTGGGTTTTCAGGCACAGAATAATCTGAGATATTCATATGCATTAGATGGCAAGAACGTATGTGACTATTAAATTGAATCCAATTTTGTGCTATATAACAAAAAAATAGTAACAGACATAATTGTAGTAACCTCTGAAGAACTTTTCAATTTTAACTAGTTTTGATTGCTTCTCACATAGGAAATATGTAATTATTTACTTTTTAAAATAATTTAAGTTTCTTTTTTTTATGTAAAGACATCACCGTCCTCACATTGTAAAAATTAACCACAGTAATATACTGGCACTACAATTTATGGACCTACTCTGGTGTTAATGCAAAATCTTGATTTTAGAGTTTCTCCCACTTGTTATATGCTTAAATGTATAAAGCTTTTGACTTATTTTTGATTAAAAATATTGCAAATATCAATTGTCAGCTTCTGTATATTTTCTTTTGTTCATATTATATTCAACCCAATAAAAGTAGCTCATATCATTACATTAAAGTAATCTATGATACTGTTCAAAAGTTTTGGGTCAGTACGATTTTTTAATGTTTTTGACACTTATGCTCAACAAGGCTGCATTTATTTGATCAAAAACACAGAAAAAGTAGTAATATTCTGAGATTATAATTCAAAATAATTGTTTTCTATTTTAATATATTTAAATCTGTGATGGTAAAGCTGAATTTTAAGCATCATTACTCCAGTCTTCAGTCACATGATCCTTCAAAAATTAATGCTGATTTGGTGCTCAAGAAACATTTCTTCTTATTATTAAAAACATTGTGCTGCTTAAAGGGATAGTTCGCCCAAAAATGAATATTAGCCCAGGATTTACTCACACTCAAGTCATCCTAGGTGTATATGACATTCTTCTTTCAGACGAATACAATCGAAGTTATATTAAAAAATGTCCTGGCTCTTCAAAGCTTTATAATGGCAGTTTCTGTTTTGAAGTCCATAAAAGTGCTCCACACGGCTCTGGGGGGTTAATAGACCTTATGTAGCCCCCCCCCTTTTCAGCGCTGCGCTCGTTGTCTTTTGACTTCAGGTCTGTATTTTCACAGCGATCTTGCATAGGTATGAATGAACGGCTTGTAAAAAAATTCCCAGTCGACATTTTGTTAAGACATCTGCTTTACAATGCTTATGATAAACATTACAATGCTCATGATAACTTTCGTTAACTCTACAATAAGTAAATCCACTTCACCAGCTAATTACTCCTCGACAGCGATGCCATAGAAATATACAGAGTGACCGCAAAAACGGAAGTTCAAAGACAATATTCTAAAGATGACGGCGCGCTTGTTTCTCTGGTGCATAAGGTCTATACTATGCTTTGTTCACCACAGACCTTATTTCAGTCGATTTAGCAAAATCCCATTCAAAAATCCCATAGACTTTTGAGCGAGGGAACCGGGAGTGCTAAAATGCTAACTCACTTCCGCATTTTGGCCTACAGAGTGACGTCGTAACTTCGGCACTCTATAAAGGCCTTCTAAAGCGAAGCGATGTGTTTGTGTAAGAAAAATATCCATATTCAAAACTTTATAAAGTAAAATAACTAGTGTCCGGGCTAAAAGGAACATACGTATTCCACTTACGCAACTTGTGACATCAGAAGTAGCGTATTGCATCATGGCGTAGTGTAAATATCAGCAGTACGTCGCATTACTCGCTTAAGTTACACTTTACACAAGTGGAATCTGTGTGTTCGTTTGGGTAATTTTCCTTTTTGGGTGAACTATCCCTTTAATATTTTTGTGGCACATTTTTTCAGGATTCAATGATGAATAAAAATTTCAAAAGAACAGCATTTATTTGAAACAGACTTTTGTAAAAAAACAACAACAACACAGTTATATAAAATTGTTTATTCTTGCTAATTCTGAAATAGTACAATGACCAAAATTAAGAAATCTGTATACAAAGAAGCAAGTGGTCCATCTAGTAAAGCACAGAATGTAAATAAAAACAACAATGGTTTCAAAAAGATCTTCACATTAGGGCTTAGGGAGGCATTGGTGCTCTCATCGGACCTCTCGGTGGTGCAGGAGGACGTGGCGGCAGGGGAGGCCCTCTCTGAAAGCCGAAGTGTGGTGGTCTGGGTGGGCCAGCACCATAACCTGGAGGTGGCATTGGTGGAGGTCCTCTCATACCTGGATGCATTGGTGGACCTGTAAAAAAAGGGGAGGAGTTATTGCATCAACAACATGATCTATTTTGCTTCCGTTGAAATGCACAATCCACTTCTTCACACACATACCCATTGGGGGACCGAATGGTCCTCTGGGAGGGACACCCATGGGGGGAGGGGGCATGCCAGGTGGAGTAGGTGCTCTTTGTTGAGAAGATCCAGGCGGGCCAGGTGGAGGAGGCACCATTCCGGGAGGTCCCGACGGAGGCATCGGCATTGGTGGCATTCCTGGTGGATGCATTCCTCCAGGGGGGAAGGGCGGGGGTCCTGGTGGGTGCCCTCCACCCTGTTGTGAAGGAGTACCTGGCGCAGGAGGCATCATACCGGGCGGCATCCCAGGTGGCATTGTGCCAGGAGGAGGAACAGGTGGGAAAGCTCCAGGAGGCGGCATCCCTGCGAGATCAATGTACAAATATAAAATTGATGCAAAAGACATTTATTGTACCAAAAATAACACTTCCCGATATCATATTTGCTGAATGAAACCCAATACTTGTTTCTTACTAAACTTGGTGTCCTGATTCCAAAAATAGAGGAAATTTTGCACTAACACGTCACACTTTCTTACAAAATATGACATGCATTTTTGCCTTTTTTTGACAATGCCATGATTCCCATCTTCCTCTGAGCCAGATTACATCAGTTAGTCTCAGCTGTTTTTCACATGTATGTATGACATTATTTTATTTTATGTCCTGAATCCTGATGTCAAGGTTAGAATTATGGTCAGTGACAGAAGAAAATGCAAACATGATCCAGATGTTTCATGCTACATCTCTGGGTGTTTTACTACTACATCCTATCAGTTACAGAAAATGACAGATTTTGTGAAAAAAAAAGAAAAAAAAACTTTGTATGAAGTTATTTGACATTAAATGAAGTATTTGAAAATGTTCCACTCCTTTGAAAAGATTGAAAGTTAAACTACACATTTACTTTTTCTCATTAAAAAAAACTAAACTTTTGTCTGCTTTTGTTATATATTGTTAAGTGAGTTTTCGGTTTTGAGACCAAATCTTAAAAAGTTATATATTACTTTTTTTCCACAAAATAAGAATGAAGATTATTTTAAATTTTATACATGAATAAATATTTATGAAATATACACATGTATGTATTATATATACACATTTAAAAAGTCTTCATTCCAATTTCTGAAAAAAATAAACTATAAAATTGCATGAGAATTTTTTCCCTCAAGAAGCAGAGCTGTGTCATAGTCAAATATTTGAAAAATGTCAGAAATACTCTCATAATATCTAACCTGGCATTGGCATCCCTGCACCCATGGCGGTCATGACAGGTGTGGGCATGGAGGGAGGCGGTGGGGCGTCTGCGAAAAGCTGATGGGGGCGATCGGCCTGTGAAAGTGGATTCTGGGCGGCCAGGAGACGCTCTGCAGCTGAGCCGTGCCTCTCGCCCTTTGAGTCCTTCTTAAAGGCGTATGAAACCGTGATGGGCCGATTGCAGAGATACTGGCCATTCATGGCCTCAATAGCGGCATCGGAGGCATCAAAACTGGCATAGTTGATGAAAGCATAACCCTTCGAGTTGCCTGTGTCCGGGTCTCGCATGATCTTCGGTGTCTGAAGGATTACACCGAAAGCGCTGAAAGTATCATAAAGGAGTTTCTCGTCGATCTCAGGGTCTAAGTTGCCAATGAAGATGTTGGCGCCGACGTCGAGGTTCTTGTTGTGCGCCGAAGCCTTGTTGACTCGTATGGGCTTGCCGTATAGTTTGATCATGTTCATGATCTTTATGGCGTAGTCTGCATCCTCTTCACTGAGGAACTCCACAAAACCATAACCTGAAGAACAAAGCCCAATATCAATTGAAATCATGCAAAACGATAGAAATCTTTCATCTGAATGCTCAATGATATGGAAACTCACCCTGGTGTTGTCCTGTTACTCTGTCTTTGGGCATGTGTGTGTTTACCACAGGACCAGCTTGCAGAAAAAGCTCCCACAGAAGAGGCTCAGAGACCTTCTCATCAAGACCTCCCACATATACAGTGGCATCTGAAAATAAAATATGATCAAAATAAACATGCCCTGTTGCACTGGACACAAAGATATGGCAGTTTATAAGATACGCATTCTAAAGCTTATTATTATTATTACTACTAGTAGTAGTTATATATTATATTGTTTGGATACACTTAATTCTTAAACCCCGAACTTTTATTTGTTATTAGTTTTTAGCAAGCTTATTTGAATGAATGGAAGTGAGCGACACAATGCTTGTAGAGAAGACAGGAAGAGCTTAAAATGTTTCCACAGTGCTGCAATACCTTTCTTGAACAGTACATAAAAAGTATCTCTACGAGTTTATATTTATTAAATTTTACCTTGATTTCGTTCTGAAATCGGTCCCGCCGCCATGATGAACCCGGCGTGTGTACTGACGGAAGCGTTTCTTTTCCCACCGTAGCGATTCGCGTCACAAAACAACACAACAGCGCCACGTCAGCGCGGTGCTGCCACCCACAGGACAGGAGGATGAACGCTCACTCATTTGTGTCTGTCAAATTTTGATTTACAGCGTCCTTTGCTCTTCTTTGTTGTGAAATTGCTTTTTTTAGTTGCTTTTAATATTGCTAAAGGTCATACACTGAAGCCAGTGCGGTAATACCAGTGCTTTAGGACCTACATTGTGCATTGACTGGGCATCTGTGGCAACCTAGCACATAGGCTACAGAATTGTTTATCATACAAAAGTAACAAAACTGTCCTTAAAATAAAAAGAATGTAGTTTATTAATATCACCATGAGCTTTGTATACCTATCAATATGCAAAACTATTAACATGATAATGATTTTGTAAATGCTGCATGACCAGTAAGAGGTGTAATTTACCAGTCTAATATTAAAGAAACACTGGCCTAAACAGGTAAATTAGCATCTGTTTTTGTATTGTAGTAGGACATTGCTGCTTATACGTGATAAGAATACAAAGGAAAACCCTTTTATTTTATGTTCACAAGAACAGAGCTCTGAATTCGACAGGTTTGAGAAGTGCCTGTTGATACAGGACGGCTGGTTTTATGACTCAGCTTTATGTCTGTTTTGCAGCCGTACAGAATATGATATATGTACCGTTGTATTGAGAAGCGACTGTGATTTAACAGTTTTGTGTGAGATCATGAAGTCAAGTCACTCCCAATTGTGTTTTAGTGGTTCTACCTGTTTCACCTGCTCTCCCACCCCAACTGTCTCAAAGAAGAGTCTGGTCGTGTGGAATCTGCCTTTAGACCAGCACAAGAATGGATTTATAAACCTTTTCAGAAACTTGAGCGTCTGCTTTTCTCCTCCCAGTGGATTTTAAGCTAGAGTAACACGTACACACTAAATACAGACTGACACATTACTGCTAAGGTGAACATGGGGACAGATTTAGCCTACAACTTTGTCTTCAAAGGTAAGTTTGATTCATTTGACTGGAGATCAGATTTATGTTTTTACAATGATCATTTTAACCTGAAACCCATAAAATAATAATCTGTAGCCTTTAATAAATAAATGAATAAATGTTCTCACTCTGTGTTTACATGTGATTTTGATTAATTGTGTGAATTAGAACGAAATCAAGCTTGTCTTTTGTTGTCTTTCAGTGGTTTTAATTGGGGAGTCAGGGGTTGGAAAAAGCAACTTACTGTCAAGATTTACCAAAAATGAGTTCAATCATGACAGCCGTACAACCATTGGGGTGGAATTCAGCACTCGCTCCATTCAAGTGGATAATATTACCATCAAGGCCCAGATCTGGGACACTGCGGGTCTAGAGCGCTACAGGGCTATTACCTCAGCGTAAGTCCCTCATCATGCCATCTTAAACTATCCTTTAATCCTACATATACCTCTGATCTATGTATGTTCACGTGAATCCATAAGATTATGGAGGCTTTGGAATTCGTTGTAATTAGCATCACACCCAGAACCACTCCTTTTTTGACCGGGTATACAGTTAAAAGTATAACTGATATGTTACTGGGATCTAGAGTGGCCCCAAATGTATTTGCATGACTTTTAACTCTTTTACTGTATCATTGTTTGTAGATGCCATTTGGTTTTATATATTTTTTAAGTGCATGAACATTATCCAGAATACTTTTTTTAGGGAACCACCATGACATAATGATATTATATTTTAAATATAATTATCAGGGAAGCAAAATAAGTTTCCAAATGAAAGAGTAATAGACTATACCATTCAAAAGTTTGGGGTTGGTACGATTTTTAAAAATGTTTTTCCAAAGAAGTCTTTTATGCTCAACAAGATTGCATTTATTTGATCAAAAATACAGTAAAACATTAATATTGTGAAAAGAACTGTTTTCTATTTTCCTGTGGTGGCAAAGCTAAATTTTCAGCATCATTACTCCAGTCTTCAGTGTCACATGATCCTTCAGAAATCACTCATGCTTAATTAGTGCTCAAGACACGTTTCTTATTATCAAAGTTGAATTTCTTTAAAACATTTTTGTGAAAACTGATCATTCTTTGAAGAATAGTATTTATTTATTTATTTGAAATAGTAATATTTTATTATATTATAAATGTCTTTAGTGTCACTTTTGATCAATTGAATTAATTCTTTCTGTATGAAAGTAAAATAAAAACTGACTGACCCCGAACGTTTTAACGGTAGAGAAAAAGTACCTTACTCCTCACTGTAAACCAAATAATGAACCACAAAGCGCAATTTGAGCCAATACACACTTCTACTTCTGCATGCGTAATAATGAATAGTTTGGCTCTTGTAGGTATTACAGGGGAGCAGTGGGTGCATTGCTGGTTTATGACATCACCAAGCACCTGACGTATGAGAACGTTGAGCGATGGCTGAAGGAACTGTACGACCACGCTGATCCTCATATAGTAGTCATGCTTGTGGGAAATAAAAGTGACCTGGGAACTGCACGCACTGTACCAAAAGAGGAGGCTAAGGACTTTGCAGGTGTCAATACATTTTATTACCCTTTGTTTTAGACATTTCAGACCCTAAAAGGGATAGTCCATGCGCATTCTGTCATAATTTACCCTCACGTTATTCTAAATCTGACTTATTCTCTTCTGCGGAATACATTTTTGCACATACAATAAAAGTCAGTGCGGTCCAGTGTTGTTTGAACCCCAATCAAAATATCTTTGTGTTCGGAAGAAGAAAGACATGCATGTTTGGAAAGACATGAAGGTGATGACAGAATTTTGGGGTGAACTATCGCTTTAAGACATACTATAAAATAAAGTTGTATTACATTTTTTGATAAAACAGAGGCCAAAGGCTTACTATATATGGAGACTTCTGCTTTAGAGTCAACTAACGTCGAATCTGCCTTCCTTGAAGTTCTAACAGGTGAGTTTTCTTTTTACTTCCGTCACTGATTAACATTGAAGCACAGCACATATATTATTGGGTTTATCTTTATCATGGTGTCAAAACCAGTTTAAAATCCTTCTTGACTTTAACTCACTTTAAATGCATAAAGACAATGTTCAATGATGTTTCATCCATCAGCAATACACATGAAAGTTGCTAGTAAAGAGGTCACCAGAGGATCCATCAGCGCGGTGACCCTGGGCCCGTCCAGCGAGTACAAGGAGGAGAGACAGTCCTGCTGTAAAAGCACCTGAACAACATCCAATGTCATCAAGAGCAAAGACATTTCCCCATGACATTGATTACGTCATACCTGCATGGTGGTACTTCTTCATACTTGGCCTTCATTGGATATCATATCAATGAGCACAATAGGGAGGTGACCAGGCGTTTTTAGGGTTATTGTTTTGTGGCTTGTTTTTTAAAAGATGTAAACAATTGGAACTGATGATGTCCATGACGTGTTCTTAGATTGTTAATTACCACTAGACTTTAATGTAAATTACTCTTATGGATAAACCACAAATGGGTTGTGTTGTATTATAAAACTATTTATATGGTGTTTGAATGAACAGAAATATATTTCAGTACATACTTCAGGTCTGTAAAATAGATAAAAACTTCTCACTCTTTGAAACAAGTAAATATGTTGGACTGATCAATTAGACATTTCTCATGAAACGTATGTGTGGTTTATAGATGATTGATATTTGGGCATTACATTTTTGATTTTAGTTCTCGTCTGCAAAAATAATTTCATTTTCATTATAGAAATGTGAAGAGCTACACACTGCTGCTGCTTGCAAATGTCACAATCCTCAGTCACCAGACCACTTCACCCCAGCACACTTCATTTCCCATAATCCCTCCTGGCTCACACCTGCACAAACTCTTCTAATCATCACCTGTTTGTATTCGCTTCATCATTTCATCGTATTTAGTTCCTCTGTTTTCAGTCTTTGGTTGTCGGTTGTTGTTCATGTATGGTATGTTATGCCTGTGCCTTTTTGTTTTATAAAATCATGTTTATATTTGTATCCAATCATCATCACCTTAAGTCTTATGACAGCAAAATTCATTATATTAATTAAAATAGTAAAATTTTGGTTTTAAGACTTTAGTCAGGCACAAAAAGTTGCCGTTTCAATAAATATAAGATTTTATGCAAGCTACGGCAATGTGCTGGACTTATTGTGACTTGCTCTATACAATTGCCTGTGTGTGTGCTGATTTGTTTGTCTATAAATATATTCTTTAACATTGTTATGGATGTCAGCATAATGTTTTTATTTCAGGTCAAATGTTACATATTTCCATACATAGATATGTAACCATAATATATTTAAACAAAACAATATTACAGTAATTATTCAGGCTTAGTCACTAAATTCAAAAATCATCAAAAACCATTATTTTATTTTGAGGTTTTATAAATCCTTAACTAATCAGACTGGTTCTTGGCAATAAATAGTCAATATCTTTAAACATCATCATAAACAATTATTGATTGATGCTGATTAATCACCGAGCCCATATGTACCCAATAAAAGAAAAGCAGAAGTATTCAGAGTGGTCAACCATACAGTTATTACCCATCAGTATATTCATTCCAGTTTTTTTTTTTTTGGATTACTTACACAAAAGTGACATGAAGGCCTAATGTTCAGTTCAGCTGATACACACAGTCAGTGCCTGGGTATTGAGGCAGATTCAGCTGGTACTTCTGTTCAAGTGCAGGAGGAACGAACCGTCCTCCCAGGAAGTGATGGCGTCCTTTGAAGAGATTGGCTGCCTTCTTTGGGGCTGTGAGGGAGATGAGCATATCAGGCTGAATCCCATCAGGAGAGCCTTTCTCCACATCCCAGCCTAAAGAGTGAAAGAAAATAAACATCTTTTGTCATAATTACATGACATTTATGACAAACTATTTTACTAACCATCACCAGGCATTCTATGCAATAAAAAGATGATTTTTGGCTAATCAAACATAGGATTGCAATAAAATTCAGTGATTATTTCTACCCGATTATGGTGTGTGTGTGTGCATTCTCACCTGAAGGTATGTCGACACTAGCAATGGGCACAGTGATTTTCTTTAGTTTGGAGAGAATGTCATCGAATGGCTCTCGCACCGCACCCTTAAAACTGAATCCAAAGATGGCGTCCACCACCAAGTTATAAGCTTCATCAATCACATCAGCCTACAGACAGCATGATGGAAAAAGGCATGACATATAGAATATAGCAGACACAAAGTATAAATATATTACATATATACACTGCCGATCAAAATTTTAGGGTTGGTAAGATGTTTTTCAATGAAGTTGAAGCATTTATTTGATCAAAAATAATATAATATTGTGTAATATTGTGAAATATTATGTTTTCTATTTTAATATATTTTAAAATGTTATTAATTCAAAGCTGGATTTTCAGCATCATTACTCAAGTCATCAGTGTCACATTATCCTTCAGAAATCATTCTAGTATGTTGATTTGCTGCTCAAGAAACATTTCTGATTATCAATGTTGAAAACAGTTGTGCTGCGTAATATCTTTGTGGAAACAATTACATATTTTTTTTCAGGAATCTTTGACGATTAGAAAGTTTACAGCATTTATTTGTAACATTATAAATGTCTTTAGAGCCACTTTCGATCAATTTAATGTATCCTTGCTGAATAAAAGTATTAATTTCTCTCTTCTTTTTTTTAAAATGACTGACCGCAAACTTCTAAATGGTTGTGTACATATACAAAAACATAAATGTATATCCATTAACGTAAACAATAAATGAGCATAAATCAATTTATGTAAAGGTAAAAAAAAACATTGAAATGTCAGATAGGTGTCCCTGGGATAATCAGTGCAGTCAGGCACATTACTTTATCAGCTATTAATGAGAAGGAGGAACCCATATGAAAGGTTAAAAAAAAATAAAAAATCGGACCCCCCATGGTGTAAAAAATGTGGTATTGACCGCTAAGGTTCCTGTTGTACCTCGGGCATCTCTGTCAGGAAGGATATATCCATCTTCTCACACTGGGTGGTAAGATTCTGAAAGAGCTGTTTGTTGGGGCGCTTCGGGTACAATACAGATGGCTCATATCCCTAGGAGATTCACATGCAATATGAATAAAATCAATAAGCCTTCATTAAATATTAAGTTTAATGAGGGAAAAAATTTAAACAGGTGCAGTCATTTTATTTTCAGCTAGAACTCGAACTCACAAACAGTTTGAGATGTCTAGCACAAACCAAGCCATCTCCTCCATTATTTCCAGGGCCACAGATCACCAGAACTCTGGGTGGACTCTTGAGCAGTGATTGTAGAGGATAGCCCTATGAAGTAAACGACTGATTTGATTGTGCATTATGTGTATAAGCTGTATGCGATCCTTTCTGCATGATGATGGACCATCGGATGTACCTTTGACACGGCTGTGGCACAGCTAAGCCCGGCCAGCTCCATTAACTGATCCACACTGAAGCTGTACTCATTAAACAGCTCCTCGTCAATGTGCTGAGCCTCTTCTTGTCTATGATGACAGAAACCAGAAATAAAAACTACTGTACTTGTACATTTTCGGATGCAGTCTGTAGCAGGCATTAGACAGCTGGCAATTTAAACTGTTGATTTCCCACTAATTAATTACTTTTGGGCTATTTTTGATTGGCCAATGGGGTAGTTTTGTTTCACAGACCTGGAAACCCTGCCTCGCTGAGTCGCTGCCCTATCAGGCAATGACTTTGCAGGCAGTTTTTGTTTGAAGGTACCTCACGAAACTGATTTCAGACAGGCTTCTGAGGCAGCGTAACGGTCTAATGATCTACAGCAAAATAAAGCAAGTTTTGGCGAAATCTAAGTGAATATTTTAATTCTACAATAGTAATTTCTCACTAGAAATGACATCAGAATTGTAAAAAGTTGGCCAAAATGTACATTCACAAACAAACTAACCGCAACTTTCAGACTCCATATTCATATTTTAGCTTAACTGTCATGGAATGGAACGCACAGGATTGTGGGAGATCATAGGCAGCGAAGGAAACATCTATTCTGCCTTCAAAAATCAATCAGATGAAGGTATCTCAGTAGACAGGATGTGGCACAATTACTGAATTTGGACGTGCCTTGTTGCCTTCCTTCCTACCAATGGAGGCAGTATTTTTCATCTTTCGGACGCAGACCTAGTCTGCCATTAGTACAATCCCATTTTAAGCAAAGCTCAAATGTCAGAGACACTATTATTGACATTCACAACAACAGTAATGTAACATCATGTTATGGACAAATAATGACTGACATGCAACAACACTTAATTACACAGAGAGTGTAGTGCATTTACACTCACCCCAGGTACTTAATAGTATTGGCCATAGTGAAAGCCTGTCTATGAGCGAGACCTTTAGTGTAGATGTTACTGGCAACACGTGCACATGCTCCTGTATGTGTCAGGACAGAGCCTCCTCGTGATGTCACAAGAAGACCGATTCCAAACAGGGCTCGAAGTCCCAACATTCACCTGGCTAAAGCACCTGAACAAGAAGAAACAGTAAGAAAGTTGTTAAGAAAGGAAGGTACATGGCGATTTCTGCCCACATATCTTGACGCATTCTGGGAAAGGCACAATAATAATGAGAAGAGAAACCTAATAAACTGCTGCATATATATTCTAAACTTAGTCATTAATTTTATGGTAAGGAGGCTGTTAACTCACATAACTCTTTATCCAAGAGGTTATTGAAGATATATAGATATACATTTTTTGGTGTGTAAATAGTAATATGTCTAGTAAATAGTGTGTAAATAGTCTATAATATATGCATAATATTATAGATGAATAAACATAATATTACGTATACTTATGTAGTCTAATATACATTTACATATACATGACCATTGGATTAAATCATTTAACTCAACCTGCAACTATATGATTAGAAAAACACACATATTACACATTACAAATGATAATTTTGAACAGTTTTTAACGAGATACCATTGGGTTAAAGAACTGTGATAGGGAAGAATCAACTTATAAAAACCAGAAGCATTCAGTACCTGATAGTAAGTGGCATTCAGTAAGTTACCTGTTAGTAAGTGTGTCTAAACGCTCAGTAACATTCGTTAACACTAAGAAATGTTTAAGACACCGTCGGGTGAATAAACAGAGCAAAAACCGATTCAGTTAAATCTTTACAGGATACAAACATGCAGAAGTGTATAAAACAGAAAGGACACTTGCAGCCCTCTGCTGCTGAAACCCAGTATATAAACAATATCCGGGTTAGTGAACTTAAGCCGCTTTTCACAATAACAGCCTGACTTTTGTTTAAAACGAAATTAAATGAAAAGAAATTAAATTAAATATAATTTGATTAAATTAAATTAAATTATTAATGATAATAATTACTATAATTTATAATGATGATGATTATTATTATATTCCTCATAATCATTTATCATAATAATACTTATTTTAGAGCTTTTTTTCCAAGACATAAACTTTATTTGTCTGTAATTTGTGGTCTTTATTTGTGTAAAAGGAATGTGTGGATGAACATATGTTTGAAAATAGAGGGTCATAGAAATTATTCCCTGCCTTTTCTTTGATTGTACCATTGAATATCGTGTATACGTAATGTTTCTACATGTCGCCTTATATATGAAACATATACATGCATGATTTAGAGCTCACATCCATGTGTTCAGGTTTGGTCTCGTTGGGTTGGGTTCCTCCGCACCCCTTTACCTCAGGTTGTGATGGTATGTTCCGGTCATTTAATAGCACTCTCAGAAAGCTAATGCTGGTATAGTGTGAATGGTAGTCTGTGGCAGGTGTAATCATAAACACACTGCATGATATGACACATCCACTGGATTTGCTGACGCATTACCTGGCTTAAGGTAAGCGCGATTTTATTTCAAGCGATAATTGTTATTTAATCTAGTAAGAATAAACAGTTGAGTCTGGATGTAAATAAAACAATGAAAACATATAAAAGTAGATTTAACTTGAACTTTACTGTTTCTTGGGGCAGCACCCGTAGAGGACAAAATAACAGTCTTGGAAATAATAGACTTTTTTCTTCTTCTTGGAGCTTTAGCTGACAGGAGGGATATTTTGGGGATAGCTGAAATTGCCAATGGGACTATATTGTAAACAACATCTGCTCTATAGTTTAATTTTATGCATTGCATTTCATGTATTCTTTATTATAAAAGTATTTATTTTGCGCTATATAATTTTAAGGAACCCAGAAAGGAAGTTTACATCATAATTATGTAGGTATGCATATATGTATTGTTTTTGAGTATGTTATAATTGAGTTTTTTTTGTGTAAGTGGATGAGTGTTTTGTCTTAAAGATACTTTGTTTCACTTTAATAGCTGATTCAGTATTAGATTTCCAGATGGTTAATCCCTGTGTTAATGAAAAAAAAACTTGTAATTTCTTTATAAGAAGAAACCATGCTTGCGTTAATCGGTAAATATGCAAGCTTTCCCCCCACTCTCTATCACAATTGCATTTTAAACATAATATGGCATTGAATCTTACGAGGTACAAATTAAGCTATTCTGCCAAAATGTATCATGGTAGTACCATGGTATTCTTTCAAGTACTGTAGAATGTGTATGCTAAATACCATGATGCATGAACATGGTAATTATGCAGTACTATGGTATATCAAAGTACCAGTATTACCATCTTATACCATCACAGTACTTTTTTTCTGGCTGTTTGGGTTAAAGTGTCTCAGCATGATCAGATTGTTATTTAATTAAACAGCAGATTTTGATGCAAACTCAGTGTAATGGAAACTCAGAGATGCTGTATCGCTGTTGGTATGTCCTCCTCATTGATTGATCGATCTCAGAGCAGCAGTGCTTTCACATCCAGCCGGACACTCATGGAAAGCTGCAATAGAAAAACCCAGTGAATTATAATAGCTTCTGTCTATAAATTACCAAAGAGATGGCCTGTTTGCCTGGCTTAGACACACTGCTTTAAAGATCCAGCCACTGAAATGACTGAAGAGCAGTCTGCACAGGGCAGTGGCTATGCACTCACAAACTGAAGAGGCTCTGTAATATTCATTTTATTGATGAGTGCTGTGTGATCTGCATGTTTCGCTGTAAATTAGCCTTGTTACATAAAGATACAGATTCCATGGTCATGGCTGCTGCACTTCAATAATGCCATTGTGTTTTCCAGCAAGAGCTTTTAGTGAATCATGTTTGTCTCTTAGGATTCCATAGTAGATATTAATGTAGACCAGATACTTGAGATTTGAGACCTCAACATATGCCTATAGAAGGAAATCATGTGATTTGCAGATATTATTGCTGTCTATTGTGAACTCTCATTGGACATTGGTCGCTGTCCAGTGCTGAAATCAGTGATTTCTGAAATCAGAAATAGTAATTTGAGAATTAGCCATATAATTAAAATATATTTTCTAATATAATATATATTAGATTTACATCTTTACATCTGTCTGTGGGTTTTGCAACTATTTAATCAATGAAAAGTACGGTATTAAAAAGAGCTTGTGACTAAACCTCGTAACTCCATTGGATCCTCAAACCTCATAACTCCACCCTGCTTCTATCATGAATGAATGAAGTAGGCCTACCACACGCAGGTTGGGCCGTCTCTGCTTGTTTGCAATGCAAGAGTAAATAGAGAACTGTTTGTTTGAATAAGTATAGCGTTTTATTTAGTCAAGAAACACAATATATATAAAGGCTTAATGTTTTATGTATTTGAGGAGCGGAGAAGAGTGTCTTAGTCTAGCATTTGTCGTTGATTTAACTTTCTTAAATAGCCTGTGCGCAGAACTTCGGCTTTAATGACACGAGATTTTGGCCAAATGACAGAATGAACTGAGTGCCCACATAGCTAGTAAACTACAATCAACCTGTAAGTTGGTGAAAACGTAATGCGATGCAATTACTGCCTCAGATGCGGCCGTTTTTATGACGGGACAAGACATAGGCCTGTGTCAAAATTCTCGAAATTTGCGGGTCAAAACCATCGTAACTCCATTTGAGCTTGATTTTGGTAAAATGTTAATAATATAATAACGCATTCAAGTATCTTACCATATATAAAGCCACAATACCAACATGGTGTTTAATTATTTTAAAATACAGTGGGTTTTTTTTTTCCATTTCCTGAAAAGTTGCATTTTGGAAATGGGTTTCCGCCCAACAGAGTCAATATGTAATTTATTAAATTAAGTACTAGGTAGCTCATAAAGTGTGTCAGTGACTTAATTAATATGGTTGTAAACCTTGCCTCCAAAAGCAAGAAATGCGATTACAAAATTACTTTAATATTGCAAGTACAAATGTATTTGTTTAGTGCATTAGTGCAGCAAAATAAGACAACATATGGAATGCGATTCATTTCAGTTAGCAGACACTCTGAAATATATTTAGATGTGTTAGTTTTACCTCTATATAATTTATTCGTGCCTGGCTGGAGGGAAACTTAAGTTAAAGTGGCACATTGTCCCACTCTTCCCTAGTATGTTGGTGCTGTGAAAAGTCTTGAAGTCTGCTGTAGATAATCCATAAACTAGCTGCAGTGACTCAAGTTTGCATATGCATCTATAATAAATGTTGAAACTGTGCAATTCTCTTAGGAGAAACCCAGCAAGCTGTCTTAAATAATTGAATGACCAAAAAGATATTTGTTTTTAATCCTCCTCCGTCTAAAATGCGCTGTGGTTCAGAAGAAAAATAATGTCTTTTTCTAATTCACTAGTGGTGGAAATTGCCATTCATAAAGTAATTGGCTAAACCCAGCATCTGTAAGAAATGAGTGTAGTTATTCTCTCACAGGGGCCACATCCCTCCAATCCTGGTGCGCTTTGGTCGTTCCCTGCTGTTGTGTGATATATAGACCAGATGTTTATTAATGAGCCTCATTAGTGACTTTTGATCCAATGCAAAACAGAGTACTGTGTATTTATACCTTGCAACATGCACATAAAAGTACAGTTAATTTATAGATATGGTTGACCCAGTAAGTTTAATGTTATTATGATGACTGCATTTTGAAGAATTGCAAAATGTAGACAGTTTGCAATGGATTGAATGCATTCATAGGCAAAATACTGGGAATGTATTTGTATATGCATCAGCCTGAAATCCTCAATGTTCAGTCATGGTCTTGGGCAATTGGATTATAGTGCACTGGATCTGTTTTCATCACAGGAAGAACAATTACCATTGTCATTTTCGTGCTATGGCTCACTCTAATGAAACCAGATGGCCAGAAGGTCATCCTCAATTAAAGGAAAATCCATTTCCATTCATAAAGTTATCCATTACCGCCAAGACGAGAGACATTTGAAACAGTCTTCAGTTAAAATCTCCTTTTCTTTTCAGCAATATTAAGACTAGGAGCCATGCTATTTCTGGTGACCATTGTGTGCTGATTTCTACCTTCCCAAACCAATCCCAGAGATTAAACACGTTTCCTTTTGCTTGACGTGTTCAAATCTTTAATATACCAATGATTGTTTAACCATGCTTTGTGGTTGAGGTGAGTTGATAACTAGTAGAATAACAGAGGGTTTACCAGTGCCTACGTCTTACACCGGCCGTGTTCGTACATTATTGATGAACTCTGCTTGGACGGGCAGCCCTAGTTGACAAATGACTTATCTCGCCATTGATCTTATTAGCTAACAAAGATTTTGACGACCACAAGATGTTTTAGGACCTTGTGTACGACTGTGCTGGTTTTGAAACAAGGCCTGTGCAAAGGCAGGTGTCTGCAAATATTTTAATATTCATATATTCAATATCATGCATTTCAAATAGAGAGTGGAAAAACAGGAATTATAGTCATTAGCATTTTAATAGCCTTTAGGGCAGGTCAATTAAAGATGATCCTTGCTTTCTTATTGACAGTATAATTGAGTTAGCACAGAGATAGCTCTAGTGGTTCCAAGCAAAGGGGACAATAATCATTTACATGTCTTCTTCTGCTCTTTGGTAAAGTTATATAACCAAAGATAAGACTGTAGACTGGAAATCTACAAACTAATCCCTTGGTAAACACCATCTGGTCAGCAATTAGTGGATGTAAAACTAACATTGTCCAGCTCCCTCTGATTTTGTTCAAGACTGTTGGATTGTGACTGTCAGTTGTAATTTGCTCATCCATAGAGGTCACACCCCTTACAGAGATGAGGTTATTGGTCCTTGGATTTTTCTTAAACCTGATACCATGAGATGTTGATTGAACCTCTCCCTGTAACCATACTCTCTTCCTACAGGTCCACTCCATAGAGCTGGCCTATCGCTGTCATTGTGTCACCCATCCAACACAGGATAACAAGGACTCAGAATGTTCAACACAAAGAGGTCAGTACACAGTAGTGGGTTACAGGCATTGTTTTTGCTGGTTTAACTGTGATATCAGTGCCATTGTTTGAGTCAATCATAAATAATACTAGTGCACATACTTGGGGTTAAAGGATTAGTTCACTTTTTAAAAAACTTTCGCTGATAATTTACTCACCCCCATGTCATCCAAGATGTCCATGTCTTTATTTCTTCAGTCGAAAAGAAATTAAGGTTTTTGATGAAAACATTCCAGGATTTTTCTCCAAATAATGGACTTCAATGGGCCCCAAACAGTTCAAGGTCCAAATGACAGTTTCAGTGCAGCTTCAAAGGGCTTTAAACGTTACCAGACGATGAATAAGGGTCTTATCTAGCGAAACAATCGGTCATTTCAAAAATAAATAAAAAAGTTTAAGTTTTATAAGCACAAATGCTCGCCTTGCTCTGTTCTGTGAGACCTTTTCAACGTTATTCTGTATTATGTGACGTCACGAACGCGCATCACAGAACAGAACAAGGCGAGCATTTGTGCTTATGAAATTTAAACTTTTTAATTTATTTTTTAAATGACCGATCGTTTCGCTAGATAAGACCCTTATTCATCATCTGGTATCGTTTAAAGCCCTTTGAAGCTGCACTGAAACTGTCATTTGGACCTTGAACCATTGAAGTCCATTATATGGAGAAAAATCCTGAAATGTTTTCATTTCAAAAACCTTAATTTCTTTTCGACTGAAGAAAGAAAGACATGGACATCTTGGATGACATGGGGGTGAGTAAATTATCAGCAAAAGTTTTTTTTAAAGTGAACTAATCCTTTAAATATACATTCAAATCACTAACCCTAAATATCACTTTACTGTGAAACTATGCACATGAACGAAACCTCTTATTGTGCAATTTATTCAGAGGTGTGCTATTATCATATTTATGCCTAAAACGGGCAAAAAAAACATAGATTTGAATAAAGGAGGGAATCATATCTAGAATCATATCTAGAGACCAAAATACTGGGAAACACCCTAGAAACCGCATAGCAATGTGCTTTAAAAACCGCATAGCAACACCTTGGCAACCACCTACAACTTAATAACATTGTATCAGCGAGTTTTGTGATTATTGAGTACAAAGAAGTGTTATACATTTGAAAACTGATTTTATGCAAATGATTAACAAATAATTGTGTTAATCTTGTCATTTGCATGCATTTAAACAACAATATTTACTGGTGCAATATTTAGATTTGTAGACTAGTGGCAGGCAATGGACCTTTGTTTACAATAGCTAGTCATCCTATTTGATGCATGGACCAAAACAACAGTATAAATACTTGTTTGACTTGCATTTAAAACATATGCATCATAAAATTATCGATTGACCATAAATCACTCAGTATGACCACATGACTTGATTCTCAATGTGACTGCACCATGCTTGACCCCATACAAAAGCAGATCACTTTAAGAGAGGAAGTTCGAGGCAGAGAAGGACAATGAGTTTTCTAAAAGTGAACTTTGTGATGACAATAAAGCTCTGGTAGGAAACCACAGGAGATAAGATCAGGGCATTATCATTTAAATGACAAGTGACAAGTGAGGATTCTAATAAATGCAGGTTGTAAACGGGATATTGCTGAAGATAAGCAGGGCTCTTGAATTTTTTGTTTTAGCCCTGCGAAGCATCATTAGGGGGTTGAAGCGTAAAAATCTCAAGAGGATTACATAATCCTCTCTAACCCCTAACACACCCTCCCCTCCCCACTGCACAGCTGTCATCCTGCTTGATGGATGCCATAATCTGCATTTTTCCATATACACTTTCCATTCCACTATTCTGAGGATGAAATATTCTCTTCAAGGCTTCCAGACGTGCTCTAATGGCCAGCCCCAATTGCATTAAAGAGGACCGACTCCATTTCTGTTTTATTGATGGCTGTTTTGGGGATTGTTAAAGGGCCACTTTTATTTATATATTGCTAGTTATTTCTTCCTTTATGCCAGTCAAAATTCATTCATGCCTATTTCAGCAGTGTTTGGGGATGTTTGGAAGGTCCTTTGAGGTTTAGAGTTATTTTTACCTGCAGCAGTACCGGGCTGTTATCTCTGCAAGAAACAGTGATGGATTGCTTGGGAAAAGATATATTCCACCATTTTTATTGCTTCCTATTAATTATATTAAAACTAGAAGGGGTTATCTGTGACGAGAATAGTCAGATTCAAGATTTTACGAGCTCAGACATGCTCATTTTGAAAGGTTATCCCAGTGACAGTATTATCAAGACTCATCTCTGGATTTGTCTCGGCTAATGGAGTAACTACGCAAGTCCATGACGTAAGGCTAGAAAAGAAAGGTATTGGTTTACAGCTTTCTTGGTTCAGGTGAATAAGGATCACAGTGGCAGGTTTAACTAATCACCACCATCTAAATCAAGCTAAGAGCTGTTTTGCCTTTACCTGATTACCTGAAGGCACACTGTCTGTTTAGAACAGAAGAAAACCATCTGTTATTACAGTATTTAGTTACGGTTGTTTACTTTGTGGGAAAAACAACTGTTTGCAACAGAAAGCAAGCGAACCATTGAGTATTTAATTAAATAATCAGTAAATTAGTAAATTATTCAAAGGAACACTATGTAATGTTTTGGTTCAAAATTAACAAAATATACATCATCAATTCTTCTTCCAAAATGTGGTTTTTTTTTTTTTTCAACCCTGATTCACTATGGTAAGCCTGTTATAAGTTTTTATATTTTAAACCTGTCGGGATGGTTTTCATAGGAAATTGTGTACATACAGTACGTCACTCGCCCCATACATGTCTCGTATAGTGTCTGTAAATAGAGAAAAGTTGCTCCGGCTACTTTGACGCATGTATTGGATTTGAAATGTTGTGAAAGCGATGCAATGCGATCTGTTTTTATTACTCAGCAGGTCAGTAAGGTATTTTATTGAACATATAAATTGCCATATAGCTACTTAACAGAATTCATTATAAAGCATTATCTATTGTGAAGGGTCATATTCATCCGCTCAGTTACACAGAACCGAAGCACAACCAAAACAATGTTCTTCTGCTAAATACATGCATTTTGTAACCGCTAGACGGCCAAAAGTTACATAATGTAAAAAAAAATGTCCTAGTGATAATATTTATTTATTAAATTTTGTTATTGAATGAGTTATTATGTAATGAGCTGTTGCCTAGGGGTAGCTGAGGTACTCATGTGGGCAACATATGTTCAATTCTTGCTTGCATCTTTTCTTGATCCAGTTTGACTCTCTTTGTGGTCTCTACACAGAATAATATAATTTTAAAAAAGTACATATTGTCATGCTTCCCTCTGGTTCGAATCTAGCAAGTGTTGTTTCTATCCATCCATCCATCCATCCATCCATCCATCCATCCCCCACTTGGCTATCCCAAAGATTGAAAAGATACACTACCATTGATAATAAAAATAAATGTTTCTTGAGCAGCAAATCATCATATTAGAATGATTTCTGAAGGGTCATGTGACTCTAAAGACTGGACTAATGATTATGAAAATTCAGCTTTGCCTTCACAGGAATACGTGAGATAAAATATATTAAAATTTAATACAGGTATTTTAAATTGTAATAACATTTCACAATTGTACTGCTTTTACTGCATTTTTTATCATACATACAGCCATACAGCCTTTGTGAGCATAAGAGGCTCTGTAAAGACTAATGTCCACATTTTACAGCAAAGACTAACCAGTAGGAGCGATGCACGTTCTCCACAGAATACAATGTTGTAAGATGAAAGCCATTTCTTGGGGGATAAATGAAACATGTAGTCCCATCTGAATTATGTAAGTCTTTTAGGAAGGCAATAGTAGGGCATGTTTTTGATGTGAAGCCTGTATAGCACATATATCCTATACACATAAACATCCAGGCGCACACAGTGTGTGGCTGTGCAGAGGCAACTGAACACAGCGCAAACACACTCAGCTAATTCAGAGTGACTGTTCTGTAGCTGCATTCAATACACTCACTGCACTTAGAAAGTTTCAAAGATCTCCTAAGAATGGAAGTCACACTTTTGAGCAAAAGAACAGTAAAGTGGAAAAACCCTGGGGTTCTTAAAATATTGCATTGAAAACTGTCTATGTGAACTTTAATTTCCTCAGTGTCACCACTATGAGAACTAGCTACGACGGAGCGATTGCCTTTAGGCCTTCCTTAATTCCCAACAAATCTTTTTTTATTTCTGGAGTGATTCATCCTCTAAGGTAGTCGTGTGTAGAGTGTCTCCCACCTTGCTTAATTCAGTTTGACTTGTCTATTTTGTGCAGAAAGGAAGAAAACTTTGAAAGAACAAGAGTGCTACTTATGAGAGCATGAAGGAACACGGAGTACTTTTCTTAGAGTGGCTTATGCAGTCTGTATACTAGAAACTCAAGTGCTTGCGTAATAAGCCTGGAGACCTTGGCTGATGTTTCAAGAGTGATGAGAGGGAAAAAAACATCGAATACAACAGTGCAATTTGTAGTCATATCGAAACTTATGCAAATAATAAGCATTTGATTGCAGCATGTTAAATAATTTAATATTACATCTAAATCTCTAGATAAATACAACTCATTTGAATACACTCAAGGGCATCATTTTAAAACGGAAGGACACATTTATAATAATTTGAATTCAGTTTGACAGGTTAGACAGAAAACAACCTCTGAGAAAAATGGATTCGTCTCTGGTTTTCTGTCAAACAAACATGTCTCTGCTAGCTTTTAATAAGAAAGGCTGAATATCTTTCTGCTTGCCTTGTTAAACTCTGCATATTTTGTGATCTGCTTTACTTTCATATACGTGTTCAATAATGGTTGGTTGCAGTCTCTCTATTTATGTGTTTCAGTGGAGTTATCTTGCAGAAATCTTTATGGAGTACATTGCTATTTTAGTTCTGGGGAAACTTCTAACAGAACTTTCCCCAGTGGTCTTTGTGTGTGTGTGTGTGTGTGTGTGTGTGTGTGTGTGTGTGTGTGTGTGTGTGTGTGTGTGTGTGTGTGTGTGTGTGTGTGTGTGTGTGTGTGTGTGTGTGTGTGTGTGTGTGTGTGTGTGTGTGTGTGTGTGTGTGTGTGTGTGTTTGCTCTTGTACAACATATTCAACAATGACCCAGATCCAGACTTTGATGTCTGAATCAACACTGAATGTGAATATTTAATATCCTTCATATTATCATCAGGCTTGTGCAATCACAAGCTCTCTGCTGGATTTAACAATTTCATTACAAAAACGGGCTTTTGTTGGCATTGGTGGTTGCCAGAGAGTTGCTATGGGTTGCTAAGGTCTTCTGGGTGGTTGTTAGGAGGTTGCTAGGAGGATTGTGTTGTGGATGGTTACTTACTTGAGCAAATCAAAAGAGCCCATACTTTTACGTACTTGGATGTAAGTCGTGTAAAAAATTTTAAGGAGTGAACATTTGAAAAATATTTCAGTCACCCTTTATGTCTTAAAATGCTACTAACTTCTTGCATTTAGGTAATGTACACTCAGATTAAAGTTAGTTCATATTTCCATGTCTAATGCCCATAGGGTATCAATATAACACCTGCTGCTGTTATGTAATATTTTAGGAGTTCAGCAGGAGTTTGAGCAGCTTAAAATCTGTCATAATCTCTATTAATGCTCTCTTCCCCCTCATTAAACATGTTTCATGCTGATACAGAAGTATTATGAATTACAACGACAAGTTCTGTTTAATGCATTAATTTTTGTCACTTAAGTGTTATTTTCTTCTTTTTTTTTTATTCTGAATAACTTAAACACTTCTGATTGATCATTGCGTTCAGAGATCTACAGACTTTTCCATCCAAAGTTGCTTATAGCTTATGCGCAAAATTGGAATATCGCATTAAACCTTTGCGAATAAAGCACGGTTTTCATCCAGTGAGTTGAAGAGAACAAAATCATCACTTACTGATAAACTGGTGCTAAATATCACTAAGAAAACTAAGAGAAGCCACTGTATATAATAATTTTCCGTATATAATGAATTGCTTGCTTCTCAGAGCGTGCAGACGAAACACACGTTATCTTGCTTTCGGAGGCAGATGTTGCTGTTTGGGAACGCAGTCGTGTAAGACAGTTCTGGGAGGTAATTATACTGTACCACTTTGATGACAGACTTTGCTCAGGTGTTTCAGAATGACCAAAACAGCTGTTCAGATGCTGTGCAACGAGCTTTTCATGCTTGAATGTTAAAAAAAACATTTTCATTTATATTATTGCAACAGTACCTCTCTTCCCAGTCTGTCAGTAACGCCTGGTAACGCTCTGTTTACTTCCTGTCTCTATGAAGCTCCTCCTTCTAAAAACCACAATGTGCTCTGATTGGTCGGCTGGACCAGTGTGTTGTGATTTGGTCAACTGCTTCTCGCGTATTTGGGAAATGTCACGCCCGTTCTGCAATCACTGCGAGTTTCAACACACTATTAACACAACTCAACCAGGACTCCCCTTTATTTCGCATATGCCTTGGGCAAGAATTATTTAAATGAGGAATATTGTAATGAGTTCGTTCCCAGAAGAAAACTCATGATTACAATCGAGGCATTTCAGGGAGTTCAGACACAGTGCTAACTGATATTGAAAATTAGACTTTGTGCTGTGTAACTGTGCAGACCTTTTTCATGCTCAAACAGCAATGGACCCCTTTAAAGAACCAAGTGTCTGTAAAGGGTAAAAGTGTTGAAGGATTTTGTGATTTGTGGCAACATTTTGTGTTTAAATGGAGATTATTTCAGTGGGTTCATGCGGGAAACTGACTCCTAATGCAAGGTTTGTATGCAAGTATTGTACTGGAGTTTGCTTTTGGCTGTAGTGTCCTTGATATTCTGAAGGCAAGCAGTCACCCCTCTTGATGAAACTTTATTTCTTGCCCACCATTTTAATAAGCTAATTTACACAGTGTGGTAGTACTAGTGCTATATGCATGAATAATCAACACAAACCAAAATATCCTCACATTGGGCTTCATTTGCAGAACAAATTTGTGTGAATATCACTAAAACCCTTTAAAATGTGGTTCAAATCAATACAACAATCTACGTTCAACTAGTGTTTTTCAAGCAATTTATTTGTGTTTCATGAATGAGACCCTGTGTGTTCACGTTAACTTTTGTTACTTAATTAAACAATAGAAAAAAACGAAAGAAATGTAAATAAAAGTCTCACTCACCAAGAAACAACATTAATCTTCATGGAAAACCTGGGAAATATTAGAGAATTTTAAACCTGTGATTTCTTTCATCTACTGAGAAATAGTTTTAAGTGGATGTAGTTAAAAAATTATTTTTGAAATCTGAATCTGAAATGACAGGTAAAGTCATGGAAATTCAGTATCCTGAAATGATCCTTTCAGTGAGTATTCTTTGTTTCTTTTCTTTCCATGCGAGTTGGCCATACATTTTCTTTTGTTTGCTCTGGAAGTTCTCAAACCACAAGCAATTAGGTCATTCTGCAGAGGACGGTTACCTTCTGTTAATGAAACCTCAGATAATACTTAAATACTGTTGACATGGAGAGGGCTCTGGCGAACAGTTTCACGTTTACCGTGACAATTGCATGTCGTAAATGAGAGTGAGTCCATTAGCTGATAAGTTCAGCCCAGATTTATGGCATCTTAATGTCTCCCTGTGGGACAATAAAAGCTGGTGATCTAGCCCTGACAATGAAGCCTGATTTTTTTTTTAGCCTCCTTACCAATGTCAACAGCAATATCCTTTAGCAAACTGCTTTATTTTGTCAATATTTATTGACATTACCATGACACTTTTCAATATGGATATCTATGTTTTCAGAAGGAGTGTTAAGCTTGAACTTGGTTGGTAGCAGGAGACACCAGTGGGTGGTTGGTTAATTCCTGAAAGGACCCATGAAATTGTCTCGAGCTCATTGCTCGGGTGAATGAGTGAGTGTGAGACTTGATCTAGGTCAGTACATCTAGACAGGGCTGCCTGTCTGACCCCATCACTTGTGCCGTCTGAAGCCCTTGGTCTTCGTCTTCTGCCTTTTCTGCTGCAAATCCAAAAGAACTCTCAGGCAGAGGCACTAAAAATGTTTATCATGGCTTCTTTTATGCACTCTGCAAAATAAGCAGAATTCAATATGTATTGATTTTGTGTGGTATTCCAGTAAAGATGCTTGATGTCATTGAGTTCATATAGAGACAATAAAATATGAGTAAAAAATAGATGTTGCTCATTTCACTTGCAAAAGACGGTACAGAAGCAAACTGCTTAATGCTTTTGGTGAAGAAAACCTGGACCTCAGGGCAAAAATAAACAGATAAATGTATAAAATTAACTAAAACATATGTGACTGCAAATTTAAGACAAACAAAAGTCGTTCAAAAGTTTGAGGTCGGTAAGATTTTTTCCACGTTTTTGAAGGAAGTCTCTTAGTCTCACTAAGGTTGCGTTTATTTGATCATAAATACAGTAAAAGCTGCAATTAAATATTATTACAACTATTACTTTTATATTTATTTTTTTATATATTTTAAAAATTACTTTATTCCTGTGATGCAAAGCTGAATTTTCAGCATCATTACTCCATTACTCCAGTGTCACATGATCCTTCAGAAAATATGCTGATTTGGTGCTCAAGAAACGTTTTTATGTATTATTATTATTATCAATGTTGAAAACAGTTGTACTGCTTAAAATTCTTAAGTAAACTGTGATTTCAGATTTCAGTTGAGTAAACTTTTTTCAGGATTCTTTGATGTATAAAAAGTTCAAAAGGACTTTATTTGAAATATAACTTTTTTGTAACAATGTCTTTACTGTCACTTTTGATCGATGTGAAATGCATCCTTGCTGAATTTGTTTTAAAAGTGTATATGTAAAAAATTTAAAAATAAAGACTTATTAGTTGAAATTCTTTAAATCAAATGCACATTTTTTTCCTTTCTATATTATAGGTTGAAGAAAAAGTCCCAGTCAGTGGACATCCCTGATGAGAGTTATGCCAGTTCATTCGTCAAAGACCTGCTGGCGTCGCCCATGATACAGAACGTGACCAGATCAGCCAAAACTGAAGAAAAGGGGATCAATACCACCAACATCCAAAAGGCTCGTAGTCCTCGACGTGGAGAGCTCAAGCGAGGTTATACCATAGGTGCGTTACATCTTCAGTAACCCTTCTGCACACTTTTGTTATGTTATTATAATCTGTTCTTTAGGAACAAAACAGCTCATCTTGGGTTATTATGTTGCATTTTAATTTAATTTAATTTTTAGTATTGTAATCACTCTATGTATTTGTTTTAATCGAAGTATTTAATGATTTTAGGGTGTAGTCTTACTTACTGAGCATGTTATGGTGCATTAGAAAACACTTCTAGTGCAAATCGAGCACATTAACATGAACATTATCGTACAATGGAAAGGAATATTCCAGTGAGACTTGTTAGTTATGCTTAATCCAGTGTTGGCACAGGAACTGGCTGGCTGGCCCTGCGGTAAGAGGGAAATGGATACCTTTGAGACTGTAATCAGAGGAGAAAAGAGGATCTCATCCCTCTGTGGACACACACACTCACACACACAGAGTAATTACTCCTGAGTTGTAGGAGGTTCTCCAGCTTCTAGACTGGACAGAGAACCCTTACAGTAACAATAATAAACACACTTTAAATAAAATATAGGGCTGGGCAATAAATGATTTGATGAATTTGAGATCGCAATAAAATGTACTTAGATAATGGTAATAAGCTCTGGACATTTTTACTCTATATGGATTAATCTAACAGAAATAAATGCTAGAACAGCCAGTTAGTGCATGTCGCTATTTAAGTGATTTCTGCGTGTCTATGTGTGAATGAAGGATACACAAACTCACACATGTGATGCTCACGGTGCTTTTAGCATCTGCCGTCTCAATATATGAGGACATGAACTCATCTCCAGAGCCTCTTGGAGAGTCACTTCATGACTCATTTGAGAAAAACTACCATCAAATACACACTGAAACGGAAAGATCTTCACTTTAAACCGTCAAAATAAAAGTTCAGTTTAACTTCAAGAAATTATGACAGAAATATATCACTACTGTAGCCCATACTTGTACTTTTCAAAGTAATAATGATAATATTATTATTTCTAAGAAATATCATACAACTAAGAGTTTTTTTTCATCCATGTTTTAAACTTATTTGACAAAAAATAAAAATGTAATGTTTTGTTGTAAATCAATGTTATATTTTCATTTCATTACATTTTAAAAGCTTGCTTACATTGTTAATGTTTATATAAACTTGTATCAAATCATAAAACACAGAATCCCAAATAAATAAAATGGAAAATACAGAATTTAGGGGGTAATAAAGTGGATTCCATGGGGGCCTTACATTAGAAGTTTAATTGTGAACAATATGAATGTTTACATTCATTCTCAAGGTCTTAACAAATATGTGCAAAGCATTTTCTTCCCCATGAAGGGTAGGTAATTGAATATTATGATAAATATCAATATCGTATATCGCCCTACTAATCATTTAAAGTCCCCGTGAACCGGAAGTTGCAAACGACTTTTCTCTAGTGTTGTGACGTATTTCCGAGAGAAACGGAATACTAAATGAGGCAAAATGGTGGGCGTGGCTTTTTCCCCAACTAGCACCTGATTGGATCTAGAAAAGTAGGTGTTTTCATTCAGCCTGTCTACTGTCAGTTGGAGGGGCGTGATTACGGATGTTAAGAAGACGCCCAAACCGTGAAACCTACGTCATCAGGCAAGGTCCTCCAACGCAGAGGGGAGGGGAAATTTCAGATTTTGATTAAAGATTACGAAGCCAAAAAATTTTTTTGTGTGGATTGACTTGCATGGATGAATTGTTCACCACAAAACGATCAATTTAGGCAAACAAAGTAAGTATGGTCAATTTTGAATTCATGGGGACTTTAAATGTGATGGCAAAGCTGAATTTCCACAGTCCAGTTTTACTCCAGTCTTCAGGGTCAACTGATTTACATGTCCTAAGCTAGCCTTGTTGTTCTATCATATACTTTTCCTCTTGTTTCTTATAAGAAGTTTACAAGTTTTCTTCGCAAAATATAGCCTCACTTACTGTTTGCTATCTTTGTGGTGAATGAAAATAAAAATCGAGTTATGTTTTAAGACTTGGCAAGTATCAGCCTAACTTTCAGTTTTGCTTCATCACTATCAATTTCATCAGGGCCTAACAAGGAGACATTTTCCAAATCTTTGATTACCTTGTTCTTGTGAAGTTTCAGAAGGCTTTCTAGACCAAACAATTTTAAAGTTGCAAGCATAAGAATATTTTGCAAGGTAGTTCACCATAAATAATGCACCGAAATAGTCTTGCTCTTTTCAAACTGCGTCTGATCTTTTGAGTACGGCTACAAATAGCCATGATGCATCAAGCTTCCTAATGGCCATTTTAGGAGAACTGGCTGTTATGGTGGTGAATAAATGCTCTTGTACCCTCAGGTGAGCTTGTAAACGTGCATTTGTGTGTAGTTTCATACCCAGAGAGTCACGCCATTAGCTCAGTTAACTTTGTGAGCATGCAGTAATTACTTCAGCAAGATTTTTTCCCAAAGGACAGATATCAGAGGTGTTTTGAGACGTCCCAGCGTCGCTTCCGTTACGGCTAATGTTTCTCATTGTTACCTACAGGGCAGGGTCGACGCCAGCCTAAGGCTTCAGTTCAGTCTCCTGAGTCTAATGATGCAGCTCTGCTATTAGTTCTCCAGCAGTCGGGTGTCTCTCCCTATTAACTGTCTGAGGAGAAAATCTTTTAATCAAAGCTCTTTGATCATATCTCCTCCGGGCTAGTGTACTAGATGCCGTAAATCAGACTAATTAGACTGTTAATCATGGTGATTTGTTCGCTGTCTTAAAGTAGTTCACTTACAAATGAAAGTTACCCCATGATTTACTCACCCTCAAGCCATCCTAGGTGTATATGACTTTCTTCTTTCAGACGAATACAATCAGAGTTATGTTAATAAATGTCTTGGCTCTTCCAAGCTTTATAATGGCAGTGGATTGCAACCAACAGATTGAAGCTCAAAAAAGTGCATCTATCCATCATAAACGAACTCCACACGGCTCTGGGGGGTTAATAAAGGCCTTCTGAAGCGATGCGTTTGTGTAGGAAAAATATTCATATTTAAAACTTTATAAAGTGAAAAAACTAGCTTCCGGCCAATCGAACATACGGATTTGACTAAAGTGTAAAGCGTAACTTATGCGAGAAATGCGACGTACTGCTGATTTTTACGCTATGCCATGACGCACTACGCTACTTCCGACGTCAAAAGTTGCGTAAGTTGCGCTTTAGGTACAAGTAGACTGCGTATGGCCGTTAGCCGGAAGCTAGAATTTTACTTTGTAACGTGTTAAATATGAATTTTTGTCTAACACAAACTCATCGTTTTGCTTCAGAGGGCCTTTATTAACCAACCAGAGCCGTGTGGAGTTCGTTAATAATGGATAGATGCACTTTTTTGAGCCTCAATCTGTTGGTTGCAATCCACTGCCATTATAAAGCTTGGAAGAGCCAGGACATTTATTAATATAACTCCGATTGTATTTGTCTGAAAGAAGAAAGCCATATACACCTAGGATGGCTTGAGGGTGAGTAAATCATGGGGTAAATTTCACTTGAAAGTGAACTACTCCTTTAAGCAGCATCACATCAGAGTTCATATAAATGCCTTTTATAAATGTTTTAGCAGTAAGTGTGGGTTAGATATAGAATTTTCCCTGAGGCTTTACACATTTGTACATGTTCCTAAATGTTGTTCTTGCATCTAATGTGTTGCATCTAACTTGCATCTAACTGTTCTTTGAACATGAGTGATGCAATCAGTATATTTGTTGTTTTGGATGCTTTCTCTCCATTTTCAGGAACATCAAGGGTTAAAGGAAAAAGCACAGTAAGGCATTCTTTGGCTTTTAAAGCCTTTTATAGCTGTGCCTTTATTGGAGATTGAACCTTACAGCTCAGAATTAGCGCTTGTATGTAGCTCCCTCACAAACACAACACACACATACTCAAAAAGTAATCTTCTCAAGTGAAGTGCAATGGACGCAGAGCTTCTGAAGAAAAACACTAAAATAGAGTGGATGTAAAATGAGAGTGTTACTTCCCCATACTCACTCTTGTGTATGTGTCACATAAAATATGGTGTTTATTTGTTGTCTTTCTGCATGATATTGTGAAAACTTACGGACTTGCCCATATTTATATACAGTACACATACAGTGTGTATATATGCTTACTAGGACTAGATGTTAAAATCCCTTGATAATCAGCAAGCGTTGTTGTTGGAGATGTCCTCTTGGGTGGGGTTGGATTGGGGGATGACCACCTGATGCCTCCAATACGTCACATCCTCAGTTGTGCACCCCGGCCTCATTGGGTGTTTCGGTCTTTTATCACAATACACCCTTACCCGAGGCTGGCCCACCACAGGCTGATCAGACCTAGGTGTGTGTCGCACCGGAGGCTCCATGAGGTCACTTGGCAGCCCATACAGTCTCCTTCCGCTTCAGCCACAGCCAGTGACTGCTTCTTTCGGCAGCAGTTGCAAGGTCCTTGATGGTCTTCCGCTGAGCCTGTCCTCTGATTCCAATCTCCTTTAGTAGCCTTGTGGTGGAATTAGCTACAAAGCCCCTGCTGCCCACTTCCACTGGACGCAAGTTTACCTTCCATCCCCGGTCCTCTGCTTCGGCAGCCAACTCTGCATATCGCAACATTTTTCTTTCAAATGCCTCATCGATGGCTTCCTCCCACGGGACTGTCAGCTCCACTATGTAGACACTTCTACAGGATTTGGACCAAAGGACCAGGTCTGGGCGCAGGTTGGTCGCTGCAATTTCGGGTGGGAAGGTGAGCCTCTGACTTAAGTCTACCCGCATTTCCCAGTCCCGAGCTGCGTTCAGTGGGCATGAGTCTGGAGGCAATCGATTGATCGACCCTTTCTCCTCTTCCCGGACGAAGGATGTTGGTTGCCGGATGGTAGTCTGGGCTTCCTGGGGCATGGCGTTGACAGTTACCCTCTTACTCTCCAGTGTAGCAGCCAGGCACTTCAGCACTTGGTTGTGGCACCAGGTATATCTGCCTTGCATAAGGCTGGTCTTGCAGCCCA